GTGGTTATTTGGAGATGCTCGGTTTCTGTATATCTATCATCCAGGTATCTAACATTATCAGTATCTGAAAAATATGTTGACATATGTCGAACACATGTCATCACCCAAATCAGAGATTACTGTTGAATATGGAAAGGGTTTTGACACTTTTATTTCAAAGACGTACTAAATTCACGTGTGTGCCATTTTCTATGGTCATATTTCACCATCTGTTGAATATGCTTTTATGTCTTCAGGCTATTCGTATTAAATATTAATAAAAAAACGTCAACACCAGAGACTAATCAGCTTCGCTTAAGCGCGGACAGAGTTTTGATTCGGCCTGAAAGGCAAAGTATCAGCGAACCGTATATGAATGGATCTTGAAAATTAGCGATGACATCAAGTGCGAAAAGCGTAAGCGTGTCCGGCCCTACCGACAGCATCATCCACTCACATTATTTGCACACAAAAAGTAAGCATTGAGCTGTAGAATTCAAAATTTATATGGAACTGTTCTGATCAGTGCCTTGATCGTGTCTTGTGAATGTTGTCAAGTGCTATTCCGACAAAGTAATATGTTTGATGTTCCTTCAGTTGATATTGTTCTGCTGAAGGATAAAGTGGTTTGAGGTGATTAAACTGATTCCGGAATGTGGTTTCATACGCTTTGTGTAGGTGGTATGAACGACCCACATGAATGCAAATGTGACTTTTGAACAGTCATTTTTTTAGGTTTAGACAATATATATTTCAGACCATCTACATGATACTTGTTTCGTATCAAATATTGTTTCACACGATAAAGAAACATTGGGTTACAACATCCAATGTCTTATAAAAGCTTTCAAAACATTTTACGGTAGACTTGTGAAGAACATTTCCAAAATAATGTGTCAGTGACCAAAAATAATATCTGATAAAATTCCATATTTTCATGTCTACCGCATGTCTACCCCGGTGTTTGTTCAGGTGTTTGAACACTTGACTTGCCTTTACATATTATTGTGACGTTTGCTACCGCTGGGGAAGTATGACCGCTCACCTTTTCACGCACACCTGGTTTTATCAGTTTCTTGTCATAACTACATGTTTATGACATAGTCGGAATCGTACAATGGACTCTGCTTTGAATGGAGAGTTCTTATGATTATGGGAATGGTTTGGTCACTTTATTTGATATAAAGTTATATTTTAAGTGATGCATTCATATAATATTCACCGCTATTTTCACTGCTATTTTGGAATTTACGCATAATTGAATCTGTTTCGGTGGATAATCGTGATTCTCTGGCGTTGACGTCAACTATCGCATGAAGTATCTAACTTGTGACTCTAACGTGTGATGGAAGTGCTTCTAATTCATTTTGTAGTGGAATAGAAAGATTGCAACGATTCTTTTCACACATTGAAATCATTTGAAATCATTTTCGGTAATTCTCAATTTCATAGTTTGGTGGGTGTTTTTATATCCGAGGGTCTTTTTGTATTACACTAAATATTTTCATTTTAGAAAGACAATACTAATGATCGAAACATTTGGTTGAAAGCAGCTATAAGATTATGAGGAGAACATAAAATGTGGTTCGTTCTTTATGTAATATTGTATACAGCCCAGGATATTTTCTCCACAAGGAATGCTCAAGTGATCACCGTGTCGAACAATTATTTGACAGCTGCTGTTGAAATTTTCTATGAATCCAATATTTTCCAGTAAGTTATGTTTCCGTTTAGTTCGAAATGAAGTCAACGGGACAACGGAATGAAAGCAATGGATCGTGTTTGTCTGCAAGGCACTGAAGCGGGATAAATGTTGGGTGAGAATGCATGTATATGCTAGTCTGGTTTATACCTTTTTGAGTGCATGCTTAGGCAGTATGCTTACATGTATTAGGTGTAAGTTTCCAGTTATCGTCAAATCGTCAATTTGTCAATTATAATGGATCTTCAATACAAATTCATGAAGACATCTCGACTTTAAGGTCGTGATTCACAATTTGTTAATGTTGCATGTTAATGTAAGGCACACAATTTGGATGTTTGTGTATTTGTTGCGAGCATGATCAGGTACTCATTAAAAGACTTGTGGTTCGCCGTAAATAACGTTTACACAATGATACGGTTTGCTGAAAATCAAAGTCAATGCGCTGTGGGTATACTGAAAACAGGTATGGTGCAAAAGGAAGTTGTCAGATGCTTTAATGTTCATCGAAACCCAATATTATCTCTTTGGAGACGTTAGTCCAGGTTTCATCTGGACAGCTCTGATGGACGTGCCAGGGTCTACAGGCGTCCAGGAGAACGTTTTAGCGGCGCTTGCGTTACTCAACGTCGTCAGTTTAGGGGTGGAAGTCTTATGACATCTCGTCACCGTTAATGTCAGTTTGAATGGTGTACGCTACCGGAATCTTTCGAGATTATGTTCAACAATCTGTGCAATTGCAGGGACGTAACGTCACATTGCAGCAGGATAATCACACACACACGCGCACGCACGCACACATGCACGCGTTGTTAGATGGAGCGTCGCTACAATAGGACCAGAACCAGCCGGTAACGCTAGCTCAGTTGGTCCAATCTTTGGTTGACATCTGGAACAAGATCCCCAGGCTGTCCCCAACATCCCCAACATCTGGTGCCGTAACTGAATCAACGCAAACAGTGGTCACACCCGACATTGACATTGTTAATTGAGTTGTGTCACTAATCCAATATTAGGGCATGTTGCTCTGTCTCCTGTTACCAGGTATGAGTTGTGTAAATTAATTATGATAAAACATTGATCAGAGACGACTTATCCAATTTTATGTTGTTATTTTCCATTACATACCATTTGCCCCACTCTATATGAAACACGGTGACTAGTAGTATATAAACAACTTAAGACAAAGGTGTATATCACTTACTTACTTCTTTGTGTAAGTCCCGAGAGAGTTTTTATGTGGATGTATACATGCATTGAACGTCCGTTAACATTCCTTTTCTGTCGACGGTGATTGTTATTATTCCTCTCAATAATACAATATCTCCGTTGTCCAATCGGAAATCGGATATGAAACAGTATTTCGAAAACAAGCAGTATAAAACCATCTGATGATTTCGCATTGCGAACTACAATCGATCTGTTGGACGAACAGTGTGCGTCAAAATAAAAACTACAACTGCCCCTCTGGGCCTGATAGTATCGCTAGATTCCATTTCGCCCACTTCATGTTTTCATTAGAGTCATGCATTAAATATGTCACAGGTGTGGACGATTGGTCCTGGGGGTATTATTGCAACCTACAGGCGTGCCCTTGTGTCCATCATAATCACACGACAACTCAATTCCGTAATTTAGAACATCAATTGCAATTCAGATACTGAATTACAAAAATAAGAAGAAAATGAAAGTGGTGCAAATGTTCATATTAAACACAAGTGTTGTGTTCATGGCTACGTATAACAATGTATATATTACTGTGCTGTTCATATATATATATATATATATATATATATATATATATATATATATATATATATATATATATATATATATATGTATATCCGTATTATAAACATTTTGTAGTCGCGAGTGGAGAATGTGACCTGAGTCATATAACATGTTCCCAATCAAATTCACTTATGCGAATAAAATATGCTTAAAATGAACCCGGTCAATAATCACGTGGTTGCATTAATGTATCAGCTGATTGCAGTGCGAGAATGGTGGATTTGAAATTTGCATCCCCGTATTTTTGCATACACTGGCGCCTGCATTTATAGCTTATTTAGGAAATACGTTTCTCCGAACGCTGGTCTTCAATTCAAAAAGACAAAGGTCCAACGTAGTTTTTCTGCTTACATTTAATACTCACAAATCTAACATGTGTTTAATACTATCTCACTTATACTGAATGACGTCAACCCAGGGGTAACACTGATGACAATACAACCAAGTACTGCCTGCCTGTACCTTAATAGAAACCATATACTTGACTGGCATTTTTAAAAGTTAGTAAGTAACAGTTACGGCAAGATATGTTTTGGGTGACGATTTCTTTATTCTATTCTGATGTGACATTTTGGTATAGATCCTTGACAACACTCTTGCTTGACAACAGTGTAAGGATCTATATCGAAACGTCGCATCAAAGAAGTCGTCATCCAACAAGTATCGTCTTTACAGAAACCAACTGTCTACTGGAATATTGCAAAAACACCAAACAATCGAAGGGGAATGGAGAAGTTTTCTGACACCATATTAAGGATACGATAAACTTAAATAATAGCTGTAAATGGATTCAGCTTTGAGCCTTCACATTCGATTATACTGGTTCATGTCATGATGAAAAGCGAATTGTACAGTTTCGTAAAAAAAGAAGAAGTTAAACATAAAAAGTCAACGCCAGAGAATAGGAAGTCTCGGATATCCGCCAAAACAGATTCCACTGGGAGAAGAAGGCAAAACAGCGGTGAAAATTTTATATGGAGGTATAACTCACATCAGTGATTTCGCTGGATGTTCGCGAAAAGGGTAAGCATGTCCTGCCCTACCGGTAGCACCCGCCATTCATACAATTTGCATAAAAAATAGGAAATTTATTGCTTGGCGCAGCACAGCAGTAATCCTGTCATGCGACGTCAGCCTGTAAACCAGACAATCAAGTGATCGATTAACCAGAAATCCACAGACACGATATTATCATTATTTATTTTGTTGTAACTAATAAAAACGAAAAATACTGTGACTAATGTGTTGATGTGAAGTGCCCGAAGTCCATACATGTTACAATTACAGATGTCTCTAGCATCCCTGTGCCGCTCCCCTCCCCTTTTTCGGTACAAAATCCGTCTTGCATGGCTGCGTTTGAGGCGTGTTGGTATCATAATGCTGACACACAAGCCAATCGCACGTCCGTGATGACTGTTGTGAAGACACGACTGAATCGATAAACCTGTTAACGTGGCAACTGTTTCCAGTTCTCTATTATGACTCTGTGTATTTCCTGACTGTCCAATCAACAAACACGTTAGGAAATGTAATATTCACATAAACTACAGAGTGACAAAATACAGTCACATTAATAGGCTGTTCGCTGATTCAAAAGATCGTGAAAACGCAATTCGCCGTCTTCCCTCCAGGCTTGTTGTTCTGATATGAATGTAAGGTACGTACATCTTTCACAAGTGTGTGTGTTAATATTGTTACCGTTCGCTCATATCGGTGATATTGTTTTATTCATTTATTCGAATTGTACAATGTATATTGCTTGTTTGTTGTTTAAAGCCGCACCACCATGTATGTATGTGTTTGTTTGTTTGTTTGTTCGGACGGACGGATGGATGCATGGTTTGTGCTAATTAAGTGCTAATTCCTCGTGGTGCTTTAGCCAGGCATAGCCAGTTAACATATTCAGCAGTTCAAACATATACACATATTATTCTAGAAAGTTTTAGGTTCATGTGCAGAGTTAACCATTTGAGTTGTTATTGTTAAACGTTCTCAACATCTTCCCTTGGCAAGAGTGTCCACTAGCCTACATAAGCCAACTTTCCGTCCTTGCCATTTCAATCGTGTGCTAAAATATAAGAGGACTATTGCACTTATCGTTAGTCATATCGGAGAACGTTTTATAAACTCAACATCCATGTTCCGAAAACGTGGTCGTTGCTGTGGACACAGCCATCGTGTGTCGAATTTGCGCTGGAATTAGTCCAAACATTATGCGAACACAAAATATTTTTGGTGAGAGGGGGAACCTGCGATTGTACGGAGACTTGATATTTCATGGGCTACAGCTGCAAAACCAAATTATCAATTAAAACTGTTATCAATTATAACTATTATATTATTTTTTTAAATAGATATCTTTACAGGAATGCATTTTTCGTGACTTATTCGTGATTTATTTTTATAACCAGTCTGAAGCATAAATATATTTTTTCAAACATTCTCTGGGACAATTCTTTTTCTCGATAAAATCAGGGCCATTAAGAAAACGAATCTTGACAGCATCGAAGTCTATGCCTAGATAAGAGTGTCAAGTGTATAGTGGTTTTGTGACCCACGATAAATGCTGAGCGTAAAAGAGAAGGTCAACCATTCGATGATACTAGTTCATGTCATTATGACAGCCGAATTGAACAGTTTCTCCCAAAAAGAAGAGAAACATAAAAGGTCAGCGCCAGAAATTAACCACTCTAGATTATCCGCCAAAACAGATTCCACTGGGCGAAAAGGGCAAAAGAGCGGTGAAAATTATAGAGCGGGATCACTGACATCAGTGATGAGCCTGGGTGTTCTGAAAAAGAGTAAGCATGTCCTGCCCTACAGGTTGCACGCGCCACATACGCAGTTTGCATGAAGACGCAGGTGTTGCCTAACGTCGCTCATCAGAAAATATGAGCGACAAAACCCTTTCCATATTCATAGGAAATATCTGCCAAAAGCGGAGTAGATTAAACGATCCATCTTTCATTTTGATATAACTCCTCCCCAAAATTCTTAATTATACTGTGTCAAAGTCGAGGACAATGTCATACATCTTGTTTTATAGTGATAATATCAGTGCTGTAATGTGTATTGTGTCTAATATGTGTTATGATTTGCTTAACTTTGCTGACATATCGACCTCAAATTTCAGGTGGCGACAACAGTAGTTAACCCAATGGCCTACACTCAAGTCCTTCTTTTCCTTCCGTTGTTCCTCACGTCATCTACCATTATTAGCGATGACGTCAAATCCCTGATATACACGCTACAAACTAGGTACTGCGGGCGATCTCTCTGCTCAACAAACACATCTCATAGTCCTCCATCATGTCCGTCACAGGAGCAGACAACCGTCGGCGTTTCTTCTGGAGTGACCGATCTCAACGCGGCTGTCGAAAACTTTACTTTAGATCCATCAAATACATTTCACACTGAGACCAGCAGAGAATTTACTACCATCAGCCCAGGGAGCGACACATCTAAATCAGCTGCTGTTACGGAATATGTTCAAAATAATATGATATCACAACCGTGTGAGCCTTGTCATCAGTGTTCATGTAATGATAGTTGTGTGATATTTGGAAATTGTTGTGCTGATAAAGAGATTGGCGGGAGATATTTTTTTGACTGTGAACGTATCACAACATATGATAACGAGATTGAATCATTTTTGTTCCTAATTGTAACAAAATGTCAGCAAGATGCTCCCAGCTACACTGAAGACCTTGCCGAGAAATGCGAGCATGGAGAACTTGGGTATGTCCAAGATGGCCGCCTGGTGACGGCGCCACATCCCTTCAACACCAGCGTCACCTTTAGAAACAAGTACTGTGCTGCATGCTATGATGTCAACAACTACACACCATGGGACGTGTATATCAACTGTCCAAAATACTTCGATTCATCCAATTACACAGACATAAATTCCTTGATACGTTCAGCAAAGGGCCTAAATTGTTTAGTTTCAACTAATATAAAGAATAACAGCCATGTTCATACATGTATTTCTGAAAAAAAGTTGGTATCAACTTGTAATGTTACTGGACTTTGGCAGGAATACAACAAAAGCATAGAAGAGGCGTGTCACTCCTATTACAACCCAACACTGAAAAACTATAAAAACATCTTCTGTCATCTATGCAATGGAGAATCAGAGCAGGAACTGAAATGTCCTTCAGTGTGTCATACATCCAAGGTAAAAGGAGTGATCTTCATGCCATTTGTTGCATTGCTTAATTTTGAAAATTCAGATGCAGAAGTTGTTGCAAGCGCAGAGAATCTAAGGGGCAAATACGACTCCATAAAACGATTTGGAGACCAGACACATGCTCAGTGCAGAGATGGAGATATTTATGACTCATCTTCCGTAAGTATTACATAACTTCTATTATTATATTACATTATCAGACATAGGATAAAAATGCAGTGATTGAGGAAAAAACAGATGATCAATGATATATTTTCGGATGGCACTATCAATACTATTTACAGGGAAAAAATTATATTTATTACCATGAGGGTCGAGATAAACGACTTAATAAAAAAACATGCAATTATTACTCCAAGTGTTCTATATCGTTGATGTAATGCAGATAGCTCCCCTTTTATAATAACATAACTGATGAAACATTCATTTGTGTAATGACGTCACACTTGATGGTGAAAAATGTGGATGCTGTAGCTTCGGTATTTAAGTGGTAAAAATCTTCCCTATCACTACAGCTTATTCTTATTTGGGGATAATAAAGAGACAATGTGTGTATTATTCTATTGAGTTTACGAACCTTGTGTTACAATTAATGGATTTCAATTGTTTTCACTCGAGTTATAAACACGCTCATGGAATACTCATTATTATCTTTATTGACAGATTACTATGCTGTGTAAGATCTTAAGCTTGAAATCATGTGGTTTCTTTTCAGAAACGATGCCGCGAAACGTACTGTCCTTTATCAGACAGGAAAGATAATTCGACATGTATTCAAGTGGTATCAGATGAACATTTGATCCTCACGGCATGGAATACCACACTGTCATTTAATGAAGATGTCAACATTTTGCCTTTCAATCCACCCACTTTTGTTTTTCCTTTCGGTCAAAAGTTTCAGACTAATATTCAAAACTTGCTAAGTGAACATGGATTCTTTATCTATGAAATGACAGCGAATTCTTATGCACGTATCAAGAATGCTGACCTCGTAGTTGATGAAGGTCATTTACAGTTCACACTTCTTCTCATGCCAAATTACACCCTTGCATATTCAAGAGAACGTTTAGCTGCTTTACACAATGTGACACTGAACACGACCGTGGCAGGGACGACATTGGAAGTTGAGATACAACCAGTAACAACACACAGAAATGTACAGAACAAACTGATGTTGCCGCCAACAATGTTCGGACAAATGTTACATTCTTCTATGCATCTCGACATGTCACTAAGTATCAACGTTCCACTTGCTTTTAATGTGACATGCTCAATGGCTGAATTTGGCAGTCAGGAAGTTAACAGTGCAAACCATGCTTTATTCATACATGGAGATATAGAGTTGAATGATCATGAGTACTTTATATCAAAGCACGGAACCTACTTTATATGTCTAGATGCAGTTTTCAGAAGACGGAAAGAGATGGTCGTACAAATGCCAGCTTATATAGCACCGGCATTTCTAGCTTCTAAAATAACAACAGCGGTATGCCTATCCCTCAGCATACTCTTCCTCCTCCTCACCCTGTTGGTCTACATCCTGATTAAGGAGCTACATACTGTGCCAGGCCTCAACCTCATCCTGCTGTCATCCTCCCTCTTCCTCGCACATGTGTTTTATCTGTTTGGGGCTGGAACTGTCACCACCCCGACCATCTGCACCGTCATTGGAGTCCTCATCCACTACTTCTGGCTCGCGTCCTTTGCCTGGATGAACGTCTGTTGTCTACACATGTTCAGAGTCTTCACCAACCTCTTCTCCTCGCTGCACTTTGCTGACCACAAGGTGTCTCTGATGATAAAGTATTCAGTTTGTGCCTATGGTGTTCCCCTGGTCATTGTAACGATGACGTTAACTATCACCTACATCCACTCTGGCTACACAACTGTTGGCTATGGTGGTCCTGCTCTGTGTTTCGTAGCTCCTGGATTGGTGTCACTTGTTTCCTTTGGTGGTCCTGCTTGTCTGACACTTGTCATCAACGGGGTATTATTTCTTTGGACGATGATCTCCATACGACGCAGAAACAGACAAAGTGAGTCATTGGGAAAGAAACAGGCAAACGACGTCATTACATTCTTCAAGCTGTCTACTATAACAGGCCTGTCATGGTTGTTTGGCTTCGTTGGCTACTTCCTTCAGAGAGTGGAGCTGATGTATGTGTTCACTGTGTTGACAGCTGGCCAGGGCGTCTTCATCTTCCTCTCGTTCGTTGTCAGTCGGCGGATCCTCAAGCTAATCAGAGACCATCTCAGATGTCTGTGGGCGAAAAGGGAGAAAGGCCATGTAAACACGGCGGACACGTCAACTGCAAGAGATGCTTCAATGGTGAGCCGGTTGTGATTTCAGCCATGAAAACTGAGAACTTATTTACATACCACACACATATGAAGGTGGCTCTGTGTTGATGCAATATATTTGTTTCTCAATAAATGTCTGTTGAAATATATTAAATTCGACATTAAATGCATTTCACGCGTGTTAAAGGTTATTTGACATGCCACGTGTATGCAAATATTTCGCCCTTCACGTGGTTAAAGACCACTCCTACTTTGTCCAAATTTAGTAAAAATAGGAAAATAAGTTTCTGATACAATGGTTTTGATGAGGGGAAATATGTTTACATAATTAGGTAATATTTATTATCTTAACATTGATTTTTTGTGCATATATCCTTCAATAAATCAAAGGCAAAGACCTGTTTCGTGTACTCCACATGTTATCTTCATGTTTCTGTGATTGAATATGGTCATTGGTTTCAAAAGCAACATATATACTGTGTTGCGAAATATTATTTTTTTTACTTTACTTGTAGCAGCGGAATATCTGCACTTGTACAAAGCAGACGTATTTTGAAAGTAACATATAGTTCTTGGTTCCAACCAAATCACTAAATGTGTTATTGTGTCACTTGATTGTCTGGTTCGTTTACAGGCCGGTGTTGCGTGGCAGGAGTAGCGCTGTCCGGCGTCAGGCTACAGATACTTAATTCTCTTTGCAAATTGTGGAGTGGCGGGCGCTACCGACAGGGCAGGACGTGTTTACTCTTTCCAGAACACCTGCCCTTCCGTGATCAATTGAAATAATTGTCACCGCTATTTTGATTTTACGCTCAATGGAATCTGAAAATGGAGACTGGTGATATTATATTATGTTTTCACCAAAGTGATAAACGAAATCACTCGCCTGTGTTATTACTCCCGACAACAATGCCTTGCATGACTAGGGTTTGGTGTCACCCTGCCTCTCGCTTGTTATTAAAGGGCTAAAACAAGGACTGGTCGGCTCTGAGTCAGAGTACTGTGTCTGAGTGGAGTATTCATGTTACATTGCGGCATGATATGTCAGTGGGCTAGCACCATAAAATTGGCATTAGTCCAGACTAGTACAAACATACATACATATACACACACACATACACCATGACTCAACCACGCACGTCTGACATTACCGGTGATTGCTCCATTTACCAATTACGCCCTGTCTTGTTTAATGGGTATTTGCTAAAAGGCACAATTTGCCAGACAAATTAACAATCCCAATGCCAAATGTATTATTGACACAAACAACAATTTGACTTCATGATTACTTTGGAATAATATTTTATGAGTTAAGAGCCGTCGATTTGTGATCTTAACTTAAGGTAACGTAGATTACATTTAATGACTTTTGCTATTCTTTTATCATTCGTAAATATATAATGTCAATGCCAGAGAATAACCATCCTCGATTATCCGTAAAGTGGATTCCGTCGGGCGCATCAAAAAAGGCGTTAATTATGTATTTTTTTTCTCTTGAGTAAGATTAAAACAGGTGTCAGTGACTAACTCTCATATCCAATACATATAAGCAACAAAATCTTGTTTTCCATATTCAAAGGAAACCCGCGCTAATAGTTCAGCCACGATGTCAAAACGAGCAATTCCTGCTCTGGTTCTCCATTGCATTGATGACAAAAGATGTTTTCTTATAGTTTTTCAGCATTGGGTTGTAATAGGAGTGACATGCCTCTTCTTCTGTGCTTTTTTCGTATTCCCGCCAAGGTCCTGTAACTTTACAAGTTGATACCAACTGTTTTTCAGAAATGCATGCATGAACATGGCTGTTATTCTTTATATTTGTTGAAACTAAACAATTTAGGTCCGTTGCTGAACTAGTCAAGGAATTTAAGTCTGTGTAATTGGATGAATCGAAGTCTTTTGGACAGCTGATAGACACGTCTAATGATGTGTAGTTGTTGACGTCATCGCATTAATGTGACCAAAGTTCTATTTGCATGATGTTTGAACACACAATGACTTTTAGAAAGTGGTCAAATGTAACAAATGTTATATTTGGGATTACACTTTCTGAGTAAAGTACAGGTTCTCGTACTTTTTATGGTTGAGTCCCGTCCGGGATTCGAACCCATACTGCCAGAGTGTGGCGTACAGATTCTCGTACTTTTTATGGTTGAGTCCCGTCCGGGATTCAACCCGCACTGCCAGAGTGAGGCAGTGTGGGTTCGAATCCCGGATGGGACTCAACCATAAAAAGTACGAGAATCTGTACCTTACTCAGAAAGTGTTATCCCAAATATAACATTTGTTAATGTATGATCTTTGTTTCTACAGTATGGCCTCAGTTCTATTGGTATGTCATTTGTTCTATAGTATGACCAAGGCTCTATCAGTACGACCTCGGTTCTATAGTATATAGCATACACTGTCTGAAATAATGAACTGTCTATTATTCCGACGCCATAAGATATTGGCCCAAAGCGTCATCTCTGAACCAAAATTTACACACATGACAAAAGTATAGCATATTTTCATATATCTCGAACGTCCATGTATCTTTTGGAAGTATCTGCCTTGACAGTAATATTTTGTGCTTATGGTGATGCCAACAAACTTGGATCTTCTTATAGTCATTACATTCACACAAAGTTTAAGCCCTGTGGCCCTTGGTTCTCAAGAATTACAAAGTGATACCAGTTTCAGGTGATTGCCGCTTTGGTGAAACCCACTAGCATTGGTATGGTACTGACACACCTGGAAACATAATCTGGGTGAACAGAGATTCGACCCCACAATCAAGGGTTTATGGCGTGCCCCGGGGATGCAACCCTGTACAGCGAGTTGCGTCTCCTTAAACGACTGGGCAACCCACGTCCCCCACGGTCATTTGAAATGACAAAACAGATCTGTGAAATATGTTAGGTTTCTGAAATATAACTTTTAATCATTATGGTACATGAAACCATTGACAAAACATAAAACAATGAGAGTTTATAAAATTGCATGTAGATTACAAAAGCAAAGAAACACTTACCTCATACACTCATCGTGATTGGTTTAATTGGCTCACTGTCCGTAAACCATTTTAAACTGGTAAATAAGAAAATTGAATGCATCAACTTTATGCATAGATTAAACAATTTAATGTGAATGCATATCATTTGGGTTGGTTCTCTCAGACTGTGTCAAGGCTAATGAGGTGAGTAACTTTGAAATTTAGTGATCAGTGTTAATGATAATGGTAGTTTCAGTAAGTGAGTTTAGTTTAACACCGAGTGGAACATTATTTCTGTTATATCACGGCGTCTCAGTTTTACGTTGGAGGGAAGCCAAAAGTGATGCAGGTTCCAGAACATTACCACATTGTGCAGCTCACAAGCACGGTTATGGTGTGTGCAACAAAAATCCTAATCTGCGATGGAAACCCACTGTCACTGGATTCTGGTACAATAGGTGAAATTGGGTTTAACGTCGCGTCCAATATTATTGCACTTATACAGCGCCGTGCATGCACGTGTGTGTGGCCGCTTGTACTAGTCCGGACTAATGCCGATTTATAGTGCTAGCTCAGTGAGATACCATGCCGCAGTTTAACATGAATACCCTACTCAGACACAGTATACTGACTCCGAGCCGACCAGTCCGTGTTTTAGCCCCTTAATGCCGAGCGCCAGACAGGGTAACAACAAGTACCATCTTTTAACGTCTTTTGGTATAACGCGGCCGGGGATCGAACCCCTGACCTTCCGTTCTCCGGGCGGACGCTCTACCATTAGACCACGGAGGCGGTCTCTGGTACAATAGAGGGAAGCAGCTGTGCTTAATGAATTGCTGCACCTTAGGCAACAGAGCAACGCATACCCCGACCTCAGGCTCATGACATGGCTGATTATTGTTGTACAAAAGCAGGCGACAGTGTATATTACTCTTAGATTTAATAACGGTTATTCCCAATTCCCAGAATGACAACAGAGTGAGTGAATGTTGTTATATGTCCCAGTCAGCAGTATTTAAATGCATTGATATTCTCATACATGATGACAAACAACAATGGAAAAATGACATTTTGGATGATAGAAATACCATAAATGGTAATAAGTTAAGATCATACAGGCTTTTTTAAATCAGAATTGACTGTTGACAATTATGTATTTAAGCTTAGATATAAGGGCCAACGCTTGTTTTCCTATGTGAAAGTTTACCCCTTGATAGAAACTGGACGCTATTCTGAACCACAAACCCTACTATGTTACAGAATTTGTAAATATTGTTTTAATGTTTTAAATATCCGCACTCTTGAAAATGAAATGCACTTTCTTATATGTTATCCTTTTTATGAAGATTTAAGATATGAATTATTTTATGAAGCTTTAAATATATCCCAATGTTTTTATACCCTTGATGATATGCATAAGTTTTGTTTTATATTGAAATCGGATGACTTACACAATTGTTTATCTAAGACCCTTTTAGTAATGTATAAATGATTATTATCTTTTATTTGAATTGTCTTTAACAATACTTTTCTAGTGCTGAAATTGTTTTATTTTCATACTTTTTATGAATTATATGTTTTATATCTTTTCACCGTGTCTCATAAGCCCTATGGCTGGGCGTTACATAATCTACTTATGTATTTATTTGTATATGGTTTATCTGTAACATTGTACCGCGTGACATGATAATAAACTATATCTCCCCCCCCCCCCCCCCCCCCCCCCCCCCCCCCCTCTCTCTCTCTCTCTATTTAATCTCTGTCCATGGTTCACTGCGTGAGCAGGGTATGAATTTAGTGAAAGCCACAAGCTGTGTTCAAATACCCGGGGCTCAATGATTAAGATGAGTTCATTGATGTTATGATTACATGATCCGTCATGAGTTCGCCTACCTACTCCAAACAGGATATCAACACTGTGTGACTAGTTTGATCGTTGCCGATATAATGACCATATACTACTCAACATTAGCTAAGGACCAGAATAGTCATCTATAGTCAAATATGTGTTCCTTAGCAAAAGTTGAGTAGTATATATGATCAACAACTTTAGAATGTGAGTGAGTGAGTGAGGTTTTATGCCGCATAGTTCAGGGATAAACCAGCAGTACCATGGACATGCAAGGAGCCACAAGCCTTCTCCCACCACTTCCCTTCATGCCAGTCATGAAACATAGTGTGTACAAGCCGGAAGAATTGATGATGATTCAAAACAAAACAAAAAACAAGCAGTTATAAATAATATTTCTCAATTTTATTTTATATAACAAAAACCAATTTGCATTCATATAAAAATATATATTCTAAGACTGACTTCAAACACAGACTGGTTTCACACAATACAGCAGGCAGTGAAACCAAATGCAGTTTGTGCCACTGTAGAGGGGTACTGCCAATACCAATGAGTCACTATTGGTGCTTGCAAGTACTTGCAGAAACAGAAGCAGCCCCCCACCACCATTTCCTCAAAGCCCTCCAAGCCCATGAACATTGCTTCCAAACTTTGACCTTAATCAAGATCCAATAATTACCACGTCTACAAGCAAACCTGCAACACAGGAAGCGAGGGACAGCATATTTCACAATTCCTTCAAAGAATACACTGACCTTTGATAGACATGGATTTTCTCATGATCTGTTAATGTACATGCAAACAAAACGTTCAAGCCAGTCAAGGTCACACTGATTCAGACACTGACAATGACATGACTGTTTTACAAAAATCAGAATGCTGGCCTTCATCTTTGATTCACTTTGACCAGACCTGTTCATCTTAAAAAGATGTACATAAGTGTAATGATAAATGATTTGTAACCAAAATGGTTGTTTCTCGTGACCTTTGTCCTTTTCATGACATTCCAAACGAATTCCCCAGGGCCAGACGTCTATGTAAGATATCTATTGTAAATAATCTTTGTGATAGACATTAGAAAAACCACAGGCAGCAGCAACAAGAAGACCTTAAAGCATCCAATTCAGTCAGTGTGTCCCCTCACAGATATAACTGGTCATGATCCTCCAACATTTGCTTGCAATCACTTACTCCCACTTTTCGTAAACTGAAAGGCAAACGTTTCTGATCACATACATTTTTCCTAACTTGAACACTCGAATATGAATATGATATGGAACATATGCTGTGGCTTTGCAGATCGATCAATGCTCTACCTACACAGCACAACACTTGTGAAAACAGTACAGGTGAGCTTCATTCACATTTTCATTTTTTATGCAAATATCTATTGGAAAATGAAAAATACCTGACATTTCAACTAAAAGAACACAAAACTTTCTGGAGGAAAATTAAATTTGAAATGATCTTTGTTTAAAAACATTTCATTTGTCCTCTTTTTAAAACTATAAATGTTTAGAAAACACAAGTGGTCAATCCTCAATCCAATCAAAAGCTCTAAATCTTCAAAGGAAAGTGGAAAATTTTATGTGCTTCTAAAATATACAATGTATAAGACATTATCCTTGTTCGCCTTTGTGTAACATTCAAACATTAAGTACGAGAACTGACTAGCTCCTACGGGCCAGTGGTTATGACTTTATTATCAAATGTTCCTCTCTCAACTCACCCCACAGTAACAAAACAGCAAACACAAAATAATTATACATGTATATTTTAATACAGTCAACCACCCTTGAATCGAAGTTGAAGGGACGTACGTAAACAAATTATCCGATTTAACAAAAAATGATTAATAAAGAAGGAATACACTTTCACTTGAGACAAAACTTCTGCATGTCTTCTGCTACTGCCCCCACACAGCCTATCCAAATTACTTTTGATTTGTCAATATTAATTTTTAACCCTAAGAAATTATAAAAGGTTGTCAATGTATCATGAGAGGCTTTTAAGCTATCTTCTGTACCGTCTAGCTAAGGTTGGGTATCACCTGCAAATTGTCCTACATTGGTTTCTTCATCATTAAGAGTTATTCCCCTCATGTTGTTATTTTCCTTTATCATAAATCCCAAAATCTCAGCCTCCGGGGATCACCTTCTCTACAGCCCCTGGAATTGTTTCAAAACCGGAAAACCACTTGCTGAAGAATTTATTATTCAAAATATTTACCCATTTCACTTTGTAAGGACCGAAGCCATATCTTTCTAAAACAGCAAGTATAAATGGGTTTGAGACGGTATAAAAAATTCTTTCTCAAAATCAATTAAAAATAGCATGCTAGGTTGGATGCAGTTCAAATGTAATATCATACAGTGTTCTGTACAACCACCAGGAATAAATCCTGTCTGATCTCCATGAAATAATAAATCGAGTGTTATTTTTAATCTATTAGCTATGCAAGTGCTCACAATTTTGTAAAGTGTTTAGTAATGAAATAGGGCACCAGTCTTTAAGAAGTGTTCTTCTCAGTCAGGGAGCGAGTCAGGGAGCTAGTCAGGGAGCTAGTCAGGGATCTAGTCAGGGAGCGAGTCAGGGAGCTAGTCAGGGAGCTAGTCAGGTAGCTAGTCAGGGAGCGAGTCAGGGTGCGAGTCAGGGTGCGAGTCAGGGAGCTAGTCAGGGAGCTAACAAAGGATCATATCTATCTGCAATAGAAGATTTAGAAATGGGGTTGATAATGCCTTCAGACCAATCTGATGGAATCATCCCGTTCAAGAAGTTTGCATTGAACAGGTTCATAGGAAACTGGAACTGATAGCATCATCCTTGTTGTCACACCTACCTATGTTATCCCACTCATGTATGCCCTTGTTGTTACTGTTAATCCTCTACTGTTAATCCTCCACTTGCTATATATATTCTGCACTATGTCCCTCATTTAGTCTTGCTTGACAACGGTATAAGGATCTATACCGAAACGTCGCTTTTTACAGTATTAAAGAAGTTGTTATCCATAAAATTGTGTCTATCTTGTCATCCGCGAACTTCTAAGTAATGCCTATCAAACAAGTAATGCCTATCAAACAAGAAACTGGAACATCTTTCGTTTTTCAACACCTCAGTTGGGATATTATCATAACCTTGAGCCTCTGGCTTAGCCGAGCTGAGTGCCTCCCACACTTCCTCGTGTGTGACAGCTCTGTTCAAATCTAATCTTATCCGTGTTTGGAGCCTCAGTCTTTTGATCATTCACAGTTTCATCAGAGTAATTACAATTAGGTAGGTCACTGTACTCTTTCCACTGTTTCAACACAGCATCTTTATTATCGGTGATACTTCCATCCTCCAGTCTCACTTTCATTGCCACTGATTTCCTCCTCTCATTTCCCACGCCTATTTTCTTCCAGAATTCTTTGTTTTCCTCATCGCACACAGTTTCTAACTCTGACAAGTTTCTCGGATATCTTTTCTCTGTGCTTGTCTTTTTGCTTTATCAAAAAGTTTTGTTTTTTTAATATAATCAGCTCTTAGATGTCGTCTGCTTGGCCCTTTACTTCTACACCATACTCGCTCTGCTGCACACATATTATTTCACATGAGAGTTAGGCCGTGGAGCGGGCGAGTGCCTGCAAGCCGAAGTCAAGGGGTCTGTTAGTGATGCCATCCTGATGCCCTTCAAGACTCGGTATTTCAGCGCCAGGTTCCAGTCGGAACTCAAACCGCTGCAACAAGTTGGCGGCAAACAGGAACAGCTCCATCATCACCAGGGGTTCCCCCAAACACGTGCGAGGCCCTGAACACAAAACAACAGACAAGATCTAGTCAGTGAGTGAGAGAGTTTGGTTTTACGCTGCTTTCAGCAGTATTCCAGCAATATCACGGCGGGAATGGGCTTCACACATTGTACCCATGTCGGGAATCGAACCCGGGGCCTCGGCGTGACGAGCGAAACTTTAACCACTAGGCTACCCTAAGATCTAGTGAGTGAGTGAAGGTAGCAATAAGACAGCTTTATCACGATGGCCATTATATGCTGGACAGGACTGCTTATCTCCAGCCAACGTTAAATGAATCCTTGTAATGTTTGTCCTCTGGGACATGTTGTTCGAGACATGGTGGTGTACTCACCTGCCCCAAATGGCATGAAAGCCGGGTTCTTGATGATCTTGCCCTCCTCGTCTATCCAGCGTTCGGGGCGGAACACTTCCGGTTTTGTCCATAACTCAGGGTCCATGTGGCAGGAATAAAGATGGAACACCACGAGGTCGTTGACGTCGAGATTGTAGCCTCCGATCTCCACTGGTTTCACCACAGAGTGCGGGGGTGCCATCGGCGCTAGGGAAACGTGACACAAACAATCACATAAAAAAGGACAACGGGGAAGGAGGTATGAAGGCAATTGACATTTCCACAAACACCCCTGCCTCACCCTGTGACATCCTGATCCACCCGGTGACACACCTTGATCCACCCCTGCCCCGCCCGGTGACACACCTTGATCCACCCCTTCCCCGCTCTGTGACACATCCTGATATCCACCCCTGCCCCACCCGGTGACACTCCTTGATCCACCCCTTCCCCGCCCGGTGACACACCCTGATCGAGCCCTGCCACGCCTGGTGACACCCCCTGATGCACCCCTGCCCCGCCTGGTGACACACCTTGATCCACCCCTTCCCCGCCCGGTGACACACCCTGATCCACCCTTTCAACGCTCTGTGACACATCCTGATATCCACCCCTTCCCCACCCAGTGACAGACCCTGATTCCCCCCGTGATCCACCCAGTGATCCCCCCGATCCACCCCTGCCCCACCCAGTGATAAAACCGAGCCACCCCTTCCTTGCTCAATGAACGCCCCTGCCCCACATAGTGATTACACCGATTCCCCCAATTCACCCCTGCCCCGCCCTGTGACCCACCGAGGGATTAACCCGATCCACCCCTGCCCGCCTGGTGACACACCCTGATCCACCCCTTCCCCTGCCGATGACACACCCTTATCCGCCCCTTCCCTGCCAGAGATCCATCCTTGTCAAGCCCTGTGACACACACTGACCCAACCCTGACCCGCCCTGTGACACACCCTGAGCCACCCCTTCCCCGGCCGGTGACACACCCTTATCCACCACTTCCCCGCCCAGTGACACACCCTGAGACACCCCTGGCGCATACAGTGATTCCAGCGATCAATCCTTGTCAAGTCATGTGACACACTCTGATTCACCCCTGACCCGCCCTGTGATCCACCCCTGACCCGCCCAGTGACACACTCTGATCCACCCCTGCCAGTGACTCACCTACGGACGCCAGGCGCAGGACTTCGTTGAGGGTGGCGACTATGTAAGTCAGCTTGTCCTTGTCCGCCAGACTCACGGGCCGCCCACCGCCCGTCTCCTACAGCAAGGAGTGAGACGGTGTTGTTTCAATTGTACAAGGTTATCAGCCAATTTAAAATCAAATTTAACATGCATCGTTTTACAAATCCGCTATTTCGGACAGACATGAGTATGCCCTACCTTCTTGACTGCGTCCAGGCAACGCTGCTGGATGTCTGGGAAGCGCGCCATGTACAGCAAAAACCACTGCAGCGCCACAGACGTCGCCTCCGACCCTGCCAGGAATAGGTCCACAGTGGTCCGGAACACGTCCTCCACAGCGACTGAAACAAGCATCCCACTACACAACACGTGTCACTGCACGGGAAAGGCACTAACGCACGAGAAGAGTGCCGGAATTTGGAGTGAGTGAGTGAGTGAGTGGGTGAGTGGGTGGGTGGGTGAGTGAGTGAGATTTTACGCCGCTTTGAGCAATATTTAGCAATATCACGGCGGGGGCCACCATAAATGGGCTTCACACATTGTGCCCATGTCGGGAATCGAACCCGGGTCTTCAGCCTGACGAGCTAACGCTTTAACCACTGGGCTACCCGACCGCCCCTGCCAGAATTTGGAAATATGTATGTATGAATGTAATGGTGTTCAGTGCCCGGAAGACACGTCCATTCTTTGCTACAGTTCCACAGTGTTGCACAGTGTTGTGCCGTGAAATTCTCAATTCCACCTACTTTTACTGTCCCCTTCTTGCTCTGTCTTCAGGAAGAGGTCAATGAAGTCTCTCAGGTTATCGGGGTCAAAGTCCACCCTGTGCTCGTTCACTTTCTTCACCACAAACTCCTGCAATTTCTTGTCGTTGTTTATCATCTTCTGCGCCTACAACATCACCATGGCAACGTGAAAAGGCAAAACATCCATCTTCCATGGCAACATGGAAAGCGAAAATAATTTCAAATAGTCCAGCTCAAATTTGACAAATGTATATGAAACAAATTCTGCTTTTCTAAAATGTTAACAACCATAGAAACATTGAAAAGTGATCAAAGCAAGAGCCAAGTTTCCATGTGTTGTTCAGAACGTGGCAGTGATGTATCCATGTAAAGTGCATTTGGTCCTGGTGTCAGTTGTTAACGCTGCTGGCGAGGTACATCTAATAAGAATTTCTTAAACTCTTCCATGTTTTCATCATACATGTTTTATTTGCTTGTTGTTTAAAGCCGCACTCAGCAACATTTCAACTATATAACGGCGGTCTGTAAATAATCCAGTCAGGACCAGACAATCCATTTATTGACATCATGAGCATCGATCCACGCAATTTGAATACGATGACGTGCATCAAACCAAGTCAGCGAGCCTGACCACCCGATCCTGTTAGACGCCTCTCACGACAAGCATAGTCGCCTGTTACGGCAAGAATGGGTTGCTGAAGACCAATTCTAACCTGGATCTTCACGGGTGCATCATACATGTACATACTCGTCAAGTACAAGCATGCATTATGGATAGTCGTATGGATGGAGACATTATACTGTGGATATAGCACCTCACAGAACTCTTTAAAGCCTTATCCTTCAACAGTTGAAAGGGAACGAAGGTTTTCACCACCATCAACACAGCTTTCTTTATTACATCTTTGTTGTGACTTGAACAGTGCTACAGTCTGAATGTCTTGTTGAATCGGGGATACATCGCTACTGACCTACAAGATTGTATGCTACTTATCTTTACTACTATCAGTTACTTACTACGTTATGTTTGTATGTGGTTTAGTTTTGCACATACTGGATTATCCAGGGTCCTGGCATTCAACTCGTAAGCTATGAATAGGAGATAGGCCAAGATGTAAATAATACAAACATTACAGTTTACTTCAGTAGAATTCTTAGGATAAAATGGTTTTCACAAACTTGTCTCTATCCGTATAAACTTATATACTCAACAACAAAAGTTCCCGTGACACCAATATTTTAGTGTATTTTTCAAACAAGTAAAGTTTGGTTTTCAATAATGTAGTACATGTATGGAGTCAAGTCACAAAAACGCAACTGCTACAGAAAAGCATGCATTCCATGCAAAAGTTGACTTTTATGCACGCCCGATGCATTTCACTTCCCAAGAATGGGTACAAAAACATGTGCGTTAACGGGATTTCATATGCATTGTTTAGCATCGTGCTGACAACAACCACTCAGAAAAACAACAAAATTACGCAATTACTCAACATTACGAAATGCCACGCCTGTCCGAAAATGAGCGTCTGCGAGCCATTGGTATGCTTGAAGCAGGATCGAGTCAACGTGATATTGCAAGACTATTTAACGTCCACAGAAACACCATTTGGTGTTTATGGCAACGTTGGCAACAGACGAATGCAGTCAGAGACCATAACCAATAATCGACAAGACAAATGAATTCGAACAACACACCTACGAAATCGATTCCAGCAAGCAACAGTGACTGCCAGAAACATTCCTAGCCTTCGACGAATATCTTCACAAACCGTACGACGCCGCCTCAGATGTGCAGGGATTGTCGCCAGAAGACCCGACAGACGTCCCATTTTGACAGGAAACCACCGTCAAGCACGTCTACAGTGGTGCAGACAGCGTCTACGCTGGACGGCCATGCAGTGGGGACAAGTTCTATTCACTGACGAGTCTGTTTTTCCCCTCAGTCACAGCGATGGACGGATTCGAGTGTGCCGACGTCGAGGGGAACGTTACGTCAATCATTGTGTCATGGAAGAAGATCGGTTAGGGGCGGCAGCGTTATGGTATGGGGTGGGATTACAGCAAGACAGAGGACCAGTTTGATAGTGGTACAGGGAAATCTCAATGGACAGCGCTACCGCGACGGGATCATCGGCCCTGTTGTCCTACCGTTTTTGCGTCGTCATGGCCCAGGCACTACCTTTCAACATGACAACGCCCGGCCTCATATTGCTCGACTTCTTCAGGATTCTCTTCAACAAAACAACGTGAATGTCACATGTGGGATGTGATGGATCGGCGCCTTCGACGTCAACCACGTGTTCCAAAGACACTCCAGGAACTTCGAAACATGCTCCTGCAGATATGGACAGATATTCCACAGGACTTTGTGCGACGCCTGGTCCATTCCATGAGACGAAGATGTGTTGCTTGCAAAGGCAACCAGGGGTGGACACACACGCTATTGATTTGTAAATTGACGTTTTGGCATGTTCATGGTTTTTTTAATGAAAACACGCATTTTCTGAAGTCAGTATGGCAAAGTAAACCACTTACAGGAGTCTTTTATCAGTTGCAAACCGAAATTGTTTCAGATTTGGTAAAAGAACATAACTTTGCATTAAATCTTATTCAGTGTCACAGGAACTTTTGTTGTTCTGTATATATCTATATGCATAAGTCACAGCGCAAGGGAGAATTGCTTATTGAATTCTTGCGTATGTTCACATAATGCTGTGCAGATATACTTCGGTTTCTTCATGGCTTTTTATGGTGTTTTTTGCAGTATTAGATTGATCATTATTTATCACATTGAATTTACTTTTTACAAATCCAAATTCATATTCCCCGTATTTTCAAACACCACTGACCATATAACGTCCTAATGTACGCTAATATAGTTTATATACAGTAAACTACGGTTTTAACGAACTCAAAGGGACCCCTCATTTTAGTTCGTTATAACCGTAGTTCGTTATAAGCATATATACAGCATATATACAAAACAAATGGCCTGGATATAAAGTTCGTTATATCGGTCAGTTCGTTATAAGCATGTTCGTTATATCGTAGTTAACTGTTGTTGATGTAATAAGGTTGTTATTACTTGTATTAAGTTGTATAATGAAACGTGCCGTTATTATCGCCTAGCCAGTGTTGCTTCATTTACGTTACCTACTTCGAAAACGATGAGGAGAGTCGATTGTTTTGCATTTGTAGATGGTTTCTAAGTCATTGAAGTGGTTCCCCCTTTAAAAAAATCACTGTATACCACAAAGAGAAAATATAATTTATCCTCAGAAAACGTTTCCGTTTTGTAGCTGACATATCACGTTGTCTCTCGAAAGGGGCGTAACTCACCAAGGGAAATAACTCACCCGAGAACTTGAAAACTATTTTACTACTCGAGTAGTAGCTCTACCCGAATCGTACTCGGGTACCAGGGTACCCGTTTCGACCCTGGTGGCCACGAGGCAACAACAGACTTCTCTCAATACGGCCACACGACAACATCCTGCGGCGCTACTTACTGGCGTCGGGTCAAGAATAGGTCTTCAGCAACCCATGCTTGCAGTAAAAGGCGACTATGCTTGTTGTAAGAGGCGACTAACGGGATCGGGTGGTCAGGCTCGCTGACTTGGTTGATGCATGTCATCGATCCCAATGGATCGATGTTCATGATGTAAATCACTGGATTATTTACAGACCGCCGACATATAGCTGGAATATTGCTGAGTGCAGCGTTAAACAACAAACCAACCAACCAAACCAACTTACTGGCGCATCTCCCCGGATGTACCTGATCCACGGGAAGAAGTTTTCAGGGACCTGGATACCAGCGTTCTTGAAGAGGAACTCCAGGTACCCCAGCAGCTCCTTGAACTCCTTGTCTGTGTACTCAAACCTACAACATAGACACACACAAGACACACTAGACTCGTGTACCAAGGGTAAGCCACCAGCTCCTTGAACTCCTTGTCAGTGTACTCAAACCTACAACATAGACACACACAAGACACACTAGACTCGTGTACCAAGGGTAACCCACCAGCTCCTTGAACTCTTTGTCTGTGTACTCAAACCTACAACATAGACACACACAAGACACACTAGACTCGTGTACCAAGGGTAAGCCACCAGCTCCTTGAACTCCTTGTCAGTGTACTCAAACCTACAACATAGACACACACAAGACACACTAGACTCGTGTAACAAGGGTAACCCACCAGCTCCTTGAACTCTTTGTCTGTGTACTCAAACCTACAACATAGACACACACAAGACACACTAGACTCGTGTACCAAGGGTAACCAACCAGTTCCTTGACCTCCTTGTCTGTGTACTCAAACCTACAACACAGACCCACACCAAAAACACTAGACTTGTGTACAAAGGGTAACCAACCAGTTCTTTGACCTCCTTGTCTGTGTACTCAAACCTACAACACAGACCAACACCAAAAACACTAGACTCGTGTACCAAGGGTAACCCACCAGCTCCTTGAACTCTTTGTCTGTGTACTCAAACCTACAACATAGACACACACAAGACACACTAGACTCGTGTACCAAGGGTAACCAACCAGTTCCTTGACCTCCTTGTCTGTGTACTCAAACCTACAACACAGACCCACACCAAAAACACTAAGACTCGTGTACCAAGGGTAACCCATCAGGTCCTTGAACTCCTTGTCAGTGTACTCAAACCTACAGCATAGATCCACACCAAAAACACTAGACTCGTGTACCAAGGGTAACCAACCAGTTCCTTGACCTCCTTGTCAGTGTACTCAAACCTACAACACAGACCCACACCAACAACACTTAGATTCGTGTACCAAGGGTAACCCACCAGTTCCTTGACCTCCTTGTCTGTGTACTCAAACCTACAGCATAGACCCACACCAAAAACACTAGACTCGTGTACCAAGGGTAACCAACCAGTTCCTTGACCTCCTTGTCTGTGTACTCAAACCTACAACACAGATCCACACCAAAAACACTAGACTCGTGTACCAAGGGTAACCCACCAGCTCCTTGAACTCCTTGTCTGTGTACTCAAACCTACAACATAGACACACACAAGACACACTAGACTCGTGTACCAAGGGTAACCAACCAGTTCCTTGACCTCCTTGTCTGTGTACTCAAACCTACAACACAGACCCACACCAAAAACACTAAGACTCGTGTACCAAGGGTAACCCACCAGCTCCTTGAACTCCTTGTCAGTTGCTCAAACCTACAGCATAGATCCACAACAAAAACACTAGACTCGTGTACCAAGGGTAACCAACCAGTTCCTTGACCTCCTTGTCTGTGTACTCAAACCTACAACACAGACCCACACCAAAAAAACTAAGATTCGTGTACCAAGGGTAACCCACCAGCTCCTTGAACCCCTTGTCAGTGTACTCAAACCTACAACACAGACCCACACCAAAAACACTTAGATTCGTGTACCAAGGGTAACCCACCAGTTCCTTGACCTCCTTGTCTGTGTACTCAAACCTACAACACAGACCCACACCAAAAACACTAAGATTCGTGTACCAAGGGTAACCCACCAGTTCCTTGACCTACAAGTCTTACCTCTCCCCGAACCTGATGTTTCATGTGATGTTACCTCCCCCTGAATACGATGTTAGATATGATGTTACCTCTCCCCGAAAACAATGTTTTGTATGGTGTTACCTCTCCCCGAACACGATGTTACATATGTTACCTCTCCCCGAACACAATGTTACATATGTTACCTCTCCCCGAACACAATGTTACATATGTTACCTCTCCCCGAACACAATGTTACATATGTTACCTCTCCCCGAACACAATGTTACATATGTTACCTCTCCCTGAACACGATGTTACATATGTTACCTCTCCCCGAACACAATGTTTTGTATGGTGTTACCTCTTCCCGAGCACGATGTTACATATGATGTTACCTCTCCCCGAACACAATGTTACATATGTTACCTCTCCCCGAACACAATGTTACATATGTTACCTCTCCCCGAACACAATGTTACATATGTTACCTCTCCCCGAACACAATGTTACATATGTTACCTCCCCCCGAACACAATGTTTTGTACGGTGTTACCTCTCCCCGAACACGATGTTACATATGTTACCTCTCCCCGAACACAATGTTACATATGTTACCTCTCCCCGAACACAATGTTACATATGTTACCTCTCCCCGAACACAATGTTACATATGTTACCTCTTCCTGAACACAATGTTACATATGTTACCTCTCCCCGAACACAATGTTACATATGTTACCTCTCCCCGAACACAATGTTACATATGTTACCTCTCCCCGAACACAATGTTACATATGTTACTTCTCCCCGAACACAATGTTACATATGTTACCTCTCCCCGAACACAATGTTACATATGTTACCTCTCCCTGAACACGATGTTACATATGTTACCTCTCCCCGAACACAATGTTTTGTATGGTGTTACCTCTTCCCGAGCACGATGTTACATATGATGTTACCTCTCCCCGAACACAATGTTACATATGTTACCTCTCCCCGAACACGATGTTACATATGTTACCTCTCCCCGAACACAATGTTACATATGTTACCTCTCCCCGAACACAATGTTACATATGTTACCTCTCCCCGAACACAATGTTACATATGTTACCTCTTCCTGAACACAATGTTACATATGTTACCTCTCCCCGAACACAATGTTACATATGTTACCTCTCCCCGAACACAATGTTACATATGTTACCTCTCCCCGAACACAATGTTACATATGTTACCTCTCCCCGAACACAATGTTACATATGTTACCTCTCCCCGAACACAATGTTTTGTATGGTGTTACCTCTCCCCGAACACAATGTTACATATGTTACCTCTCCCCGAACACAATGTTACATATGTTACCTCTCCCCGAACACAATGTTACATATGTTACCTCTCCCCGAACACAATGTTACATATGTTACCTCTCCCCGAACACAATGTTACATATGTTACCTCTCCCCGAACACGATGTTACATATGTTACCTCTCCCCGAACACAATGTTACATATGTTACCTCTCCCCAAACACGATGCTACATATGTTACCTCTCCCCGAACACGATGTTACATATGTTACCTCTCCCCGAACACGATGCTACATATGTTACCTCTCCCAGAACACGATGCTACATATGTTACCTCTCCCCGAACACGATGTTATGTATGGTGTTACCTCTCCCCGAACACGATGTTACATATGTTACCTCTCCCCGAACACGATGTTACATATGTTACCTCTCCCCGAACACAATGTTATGTATGGTGTTACCTCTCCCCGAACACGATGTTACATATGTTACCTCTCCCCGAACACGATGTTACATATGTTACCTCTCCCCGAACACAATGTTACATATGTTACCTCTCCCCGAACACAATGTTATGTATGGTGTTACCTCTCCCTGAACACGATGTTACATATGTTACCTCTCCCCGAACACGATGTTACATATGTTACCTCTCCCCGAGCACGATTTTATATATGATGTTACCTCTCCCCGAACACGATGCTACATATGTTACCTCTCCCCGAACACGATGTTGCATATGATGTTGGCCACAGCATTTGCCAGGTACGGCTTGATGTTGAAGCTGCGCCCGTCCAGGTCCTCCCACGCCTCGATCAGGATGCTACACTCCTCGAATATGCGCTCCTCCAGGGAACGCTTCCCAACCCCCAGGTTCCTCAGGGCCACGACAGCGAATTTCCTCATGTGGCGCCATTGGTCGCCATTACTCCAGAACACACCTGTATGTGATAAGAGAGTTGCATGTATAGCTACCTATGTGGACAATGTGTGACTACAAGTGTTTGCAAGATACTCACGTTATGCGAGAGAGCATCTTCCCGAGGCAAGAGAGTTAATTGACTACAAAAGTCCAGTTTCCACCCTTGCCGAACTAGGCTGGTATTATGGAGTTACATTTTGGCCGGACTAACGAGTCTATGCATAGTCCAATCAAAATCGCGCACCGAAATCGAAATCCGGTTCGTAGAGTGTCATGCAGATTTCGGTCGACTGCAGGATTTGCAAAGCATGTGCACCGCTAACCCGCTGTCAACAGATATTTTCTAAATCTTTTCATGTTTTTCATCAAGGTGCTCACGTGATGTGATGCACTTCGCGATGTCAGACTCGTTTTATCACAATATAGATCTTGATTATCGATCCGATCGTCTTGCCTGGGCGCCACCGTTTTGTTTGAAACAAATGCAAGTGATACGAGAGGTGGAATCTGATTGGTCAATAGGAAAGGCATGGAAAGGACATAACTCGTAATAGCCACTGGTGGCGCTACGATCGAGCCCAGGAATTCCAGCTTAAACTGGACTTTTAAAGTCAGTTAACTCTCTTGCCTCAGGAAGATGACCGTTCTTATGCCTATTGGCCCCCAAGTACCTAAAAGGCGACTATACTTGTCGTAAGAGGCGACTAACGGGATGGGGTGCTCAGGCTCGCTGACTTGGTTGATGCATATCATCGTATCCCAATTGCGTGGATCGATGCTCATGGTGTCAATAACTGGATTATCTGGTCCTGACTCGAATATTTACAGACCGCCGTCATATAGCTAGTATCAAACAACAAAACAAAAAAAACACAACAAAAGACAATCATGTCTCTCACTTTCCTTGATATGTTTTTGATGGTCATGGTTGGATGGTTAATAGTAAAACCACTTTCCTTTTTGTTGTTTATGGTCGTAGTCGGGTGGTCTACAGCTTTACAGTCAAACAGGTATTCCCTCTGTCACCGGGACAACTCACACTCACACTCACACTCACACTCACCTTTCCCCTTGAAGATTTTGTCGATGATATAGATCCAGTTGGGTCTGTTGATGACGTAGCTGCCCTTGTTCACCAGAGTGTCGCGTACAAGACTGGGGCCGCACACCACCACCGTCGTCATCGGCCCTATCTTCAGCCTGAACACGTCGCCGTAACGTAATCGCAGCTTCATCATGAAGCGATGGACGTCCTTGATGCCGGCCATCTGCGGCATGTTGCCCACGACGGGGAACGCAAAAGGCCCGGGTGGCCGTTTCTTCCCATCCCTTCTAAGGAGCAGATAGCCTAGAAGCAGGGTGGACGAGAAGACGAGGACAGTGCGGATTGAGACGGATACATCCGGGGGTAGAAACGACTGCACACGTTCCAACGCAGGGGTCAGGTACTCCCTGACCGTGGACAGTGCTGAGCCCATAATTAGTATTGAAGAAGTATTGTGTCTGTATATTTCAAATTCTCAGACCACACAGATCATGTCCTGCTGTCTGTGACAGTTCGCTGCCTGTTTGTACCACCACGGACTTGTGTAACTATCTGTTGCGTTTCCTATCCAGGTTATATAGGTCCGTATTACCACACAGTCGTGTCTATTACGTGGAGTGCGGGACTGTCCAAGATTCGGGCCTCTACCGCAGGGCTGACATCGGATTCCTGTTCTGCGCACCAAGCCTACTGCCCTCACACGGAGCCAGGGCGAGCGTCCTATATTTTGACCTACATGTGGTGTACCTGTAGGTCAAAATATAGGACGCTCGACCTGGCGAAGTGAAGCAACGCGAACGTCGTCTGTGAACTGTTGATCTACAATGTATACAAAGACGGGTATACAAAGACGGGTATAAGCGACGAATGCGATGTTTGCTACAGACGTTGCCCAACTATGCAGTCATGAATCAATGCTGCCTGATTGCAACACAGCAGGATATTGTCGCTACGTCCACTTGGAGATCTCTTTCTCTATAGTCATTCACTCACTCATGATGGATAATACCTGACGATCGTTTAACTAAATCAGTACTCGCCAAGGATTGGGTTGTATGGCTTGTATTGTATCGCTGACGTCGGTTCGGGGGGGGGGGGGGGGGGGGGGGGTAAATGCATCAGGATGTACATGAATTCTTTATATATTTTAATATGGTGGTGTTGAATGTATTAACATGTTTGTAATGTATACATGATGTTGTACAAGTATAATTTTGTACCTCATAGAAAGAATGAATCATCATCCTTCATATTACTGGACTACTTCTGGGCACCTAAATTAACAGTGCCAGATGGTGATACGGCCTAATCCTATAACCCCTTATAGTTACTCTATCCAAAATCAAAGGAAGGCACAGTTGGGGTGAACCACCATATACAATCAGCATCGTTGACTTGAACCTGTCTTCAAACAAAGTGACACTATAAACCACTTGTTGTGGAGACTTACATGATAAGGAGGAAGACAGACACATGACAGACAGATACATACTCTAGGTAGAAGACCAGTCATTGGTGTCATTCTCTACAGTCGATAAAGGAGTGTCTTGAACCAATACACTTGCTCACACAATAGTTCACGAATGCACCATTCACGACATGTGTGACTGTGTTGGGAAGACTCCCATTAGGGCTGTTGGACCACAAGGTTGTGGGATTTAGCTAACAGTTCCACAACGTTTACACATCCTTGTGTTTGTCTGTCTTTTGTTTAACTCTGCTCTAAGCAATATTCCAGCTATATGAGGGCAGTTTGTAAATATTCGAGTCTGGGCCAGACAATCCAGTAATTGACATCATGAGCATCGATCCACGCAACTGGATGACATGCATCAACCAAGTCAGCGGGCCTGTCCACACGATCCTGTTAACCGTCGCCTCTTACGACAAGCATAGTCGCCTTTCACAGCAAGCATGGGATGCTTAAGACCTATTCTACCCCGGATCTTCACGGACCAAGTCCTTGTGTGACAAATTGTCTTTTCCATGCTACCCCGTCATAGTTGCCCAGATCATGGCGCTGAGCCTGACGTATGTGCCACACTCACCCCTCTCACAATAATCCACCGCTTGCAGCTGTCACATGGCTCAGGGGACACCGCCTGGATGTATGGAAGTACGTCTGCACCTTCGTTACCATGGCAGTAGCTCTGATAGTGTACCTTGGTTACCATGACAATAGGTCTGATAGTGTATCTTGGTTACCATGACAATAGGTCTGATAGTGTACCTTGTTACCAGGGTAGTAGGTTTGATAGTGTACCTTGTTACCATGGTAGCAGGTCTGATAGTGTACCTTGTTACCAAGGTAGTAGGTTTGATAGTGTACCTTGTTACCAAGGTAGCAGGTCTGATAGTGTACCTTGTTGCCATGGTAGTAGGTCTGATAGTGTACCTTGTTACCATGGTAGTAGGTCTGATGGTGTACCTTGTTTCCATGGTAGTAGGTCTGATAGTGTATCTTGTTTCCATGGTAGTAGGTCTGATAGTGTACCTTGTTACCATGGTAGTAGGTCTGATAGTGTACCTTGTTTCCATGGTAGAAGGTCTGATAGTGTATCTTGTTTCCATGGTAGTAGGTCTGATAGTGTACCTTGTTACCGTGGTAGTAGGTCTGATAGTGTACCTTGTTACCGTGGTAGTAGGTCTGATAGTGTACCTTGTTTCCATGGTAGTAGGTCTGATAGTGTACCTTGTTACCATGGTAGTAGGTCTGATGGTGTACCTTGTTTCCATGGTAGTAGGTCTGATAGTGTACCTTGTTACCATGGAAGTAGGTCTGATAGTGTACCTTGTTACCATGGTAGTTCGTGGCTGGTGTAACTAATGGTGAGTTGGTGCAATCACTCACAGTTTTGTCAGAATGAAAGTAAACAATATTGAATGAAATTTGAATATATTTAATAAAATGGATCACAAACATGAGTCCAGATATACAATGAACACTTTTTATAACCAGTATGTGTAATAACAAGATTAAAATAACACTGTTATCACATACACACCCCTTAGATCAACATTTCACATTGCGTCACTTCGCCAGGACAAGCGTCCTATGGTTTGACCTACATGTACATCACATGTAGGTCAAAATATAGGAAACTCGCCCTGGCAAAGTGACGCAATGTGAACTGTTGATCTACAATGCATACAAAGACGAAAGCGACGTTTGCTACAGACGTTGCCAAACTACGCAGTCATGAATCAATGCTGCCTGATTGCAACACAGCAGGATATTGCCGCTACTTCCACTTGGAGATCTTTTTCTCTATAGTCACTCACTTACTCATATTGGATAATACCTCACCTCGTCGATCGTTTGATCTTAACTAAATCAGTACTCGCCAAGGATTGGGTTGTATGGCTTGTATTGTATCACTGACGTTCCGGGGGGGGGAGAGAGAGAGAGAATTCAGAGGTAAATGCATCAGGATGTACATGAATATTTTATATATTTTAATATGGTGGTGTTGAATGTATTAACATGTTTGTAACGTATACATGATGTTGTACAAGTATAATTTTGTACCTCATAGAAAGAATGAATCATCATCCTTCATATTACTGGACTACTTCTGGGCACCTAAATTAACAGTGCCAGATGGTGATACAGCCTTATCCTATAACCCCTTATAGTTACTCTATCCAAAATCAAAGGAAGGCACAGTTGGGGTGAACCACCATATACAACCAGCATCGTTGACTTGAACCTGTCTTCAAACAAAGTGACACTATAAACCACTTGTTGTGGAGACTTACATGATAAGGAGAAAGACAGACACATGACAGACAGATACCAAGAGAAACAGCTTCCCACATTATGAAAGTGGATGACTGGTTTGTTAAATCTTTATTAGAAATAATAATGACTTTTTCCATATAATTACAACGTTTTTCATCTTATAATTTTGAATATCTGCGAGTACCGGCACATGTCTTGCAGTCCGACTTCGCAGTGTTTTTTGCCTTTCAATTCCTGGTTGGGCTTATCTGCGGGTCATATCATTTTCTTTCGTATTTCAATGGTCAAATTAACACCTCGGCTTATCTACGGGGTCGGCTTATCCGCAGTCATATACGGTACATACTCTAGGTAGAGAACCATTGAGAGTCATTGGTGTCATTCTCTACAGTCAATAAAGGAGTTGCTCTCAGATTGTAGGAGTAGATAAGCAAGTATATTACATTATAAATTCCACAATCGGCATATAATCTTAATACAGTCGAACCTTGCTTATCCAGACAGTTGCGTTTTCTCAAATAATGTCTGTATAAACAAATTTCCTGATATCCAGAATCCCTTGTCATTTACAGGATGCAAAAAAGTCTATTATATAATGCAAGATATTATTTGAATATTATGCACAGTAAAAAACTATTTCGTATCCCTTCAGCGAATTCAGGTGAACGAAAGGTGATAACAAACTTGGTCAATAGAAATGTGAAATTTGTGATAAAACATCATTAGACATGAAGATTTACCTTTTAAATTGTATTTCCTGTTCTGCTAGGCATTGTTTTACATGCAGGGATTAAGATAACCGTGTGTTTTTTCTCGTAAACTAAGCCAAAAATAGCAATCAGCTGTACACACATTTTCTCTTAATCTATCGGAGATTCAGTCAAAAAATACCTAATGATATAACTCCATCAAATTTTGATGCAATGATTGGAAGAAATTGTATCTGAAATTATTATTATATCAGGAATTATATATTCCATTGTCATGTTATTTTAGTTGCAGCGCTTAACATATATATTTAAAACAATAATAACCATGGCATAAGCATAGCATTTTGGTACAACTGATTGCTGTTGCCAGATGTAGTTTGATCTGTCACAGTTGAGATTTTACTGCAGTCTTTTTATTATGTTTGCATATAATTCTCAGGCTACAACAAATATGACTTTTAACGAGTCAAAGTATGGCATGTATGATATATGTATCCATTGTCAGTCAACTACCTTTCGTTACAAGGCGTCAATAGCGTTAATCAGTTCATGGCTGGTGTAACTAACGGTGAGTTGGTGCAATCACTCACAGTTTTGCCGGAATGAATGTAAACAATATTGAATGAAATTTGAATGTATTTAATAAAATGGATTACAAACATAAGTCCAGATATACAATGAACACTTTTTATAACAAGTATGTGTAATAACAAGATTAAAATAACACTGTTATCACATACACACCCCTTTGATGTCAGATGCCAGGTGTTGAATTGCAAAACAAACATCATCAAGCAAATTCTAAGCATAAAAAAGAAAATTTCTTGTTTAATAACACTAATGGTAAAGCTCATGAACCATCTGCTAATTATCATTTTTACACATTTTGTTTTGGAAAATCCAGAACATCGTGAAGGTTACCCTAAGTTACAGGTTGAATGAAACGGAATTATATGAAACTACACACATGATAAAGAGTTAGCACCTGACTATCAACTGATAGAGATTGGGAATCACAATTGTTTACAACTACGGAATAAAAATCTTTCATTTAATAAAATTCCAAACAATTTTTATCAATAAGGCAAAAGACCTAATATTTGATTATATAATCCCACCAACTGCTCAATGAGTGAGTGACTGAGTGAGCATAGTTTACTTTACTTTTAGCAATATTCAAGCTATATCATGTCGGGGACACCAAAAATTGACTCTCACACATCATAGCCATGTGGGAACTGAACATGGGCCTTCGTTGTGATGAACGAACACTTTAACCACTGGGCTATCCAACCGCTAACTGCTCAGTAAAGCAAGAGATGCATAATGAAGAGGAAGCATACCACTCAAAGAAGTTGAAGAACACCCATATTTTTCATATGACTATAGTTAGTCTGTCATGACAGATGTGTTCTTTAACATGTGTACATTTGACCACTTTCTTAATGTATAGTGTTCATATTTTTTTGTTGCTGAGTGCAGCATGAAACAACAACCAACCATCTTACTCTGTTGAGTAGTATATAAATATATGTTGAGACCTGCATGAATAAAGGCATGCAGTGTGTACCGATTCCACCATCCCCAGGAAGACAACATTTGTTACACTTCAACATTAGGATCAGATCCGTGGCCAAATTTTCTGTTCAACCTGTCTTCATTCTTGAGTTTGGGCGTCTCAGTTCTAGTGTGCCAAACCAGCACCTGTGTTGAAAAGATACAGCATTAATATCAGCAGACTGACACTTGACAGAAGATGCTAACATCAGCATGATCAGTAGACTGACGCTCATCTTCCGAAGGCAAGGGAGTTAACTGACTGTAAAAGTCCAGTTTCCACCCTTGCCAAACTAGGCTGGAATTCCAGAGTTACATTTTGGCTGGACTAACGAGTCTATGCCTAGTCCAATCACAATCATGCAACGAACTAGACATCCGGTTCGTAAACAACATGGAATTCAACATGCCGATTTCGATCAAATGCAGGATTTGCAAAGCATGTGTACCATCAACTGGGCATCAACAGATATTTTCCAAATCTTTTCATGTTTTTAATCAAGGTGCTCAAATGATTTGATGCACTTCGCAATGTAAGACCCATTTGTATTACAATATAGATCTTGATAGTCAATCTTGATTTGACTGGGTGCCGCCATTTTGTTAGAAGCAAATGCAAGTGGTATGAGAGGTAGACAGTAGACTGACACTAGACTTTGTAAATTGAGATCAGTATTCAACATAACTGAACATAATAACATCAATAGATGTAACACCAGTCATAACTTTTTCAATGCCCATAACAAGATCTCAAGCAACTGATTAAAACCCATTTTTATGGCTATCAAGAAAGAGTCAAAACCTGTCTTTGTGTGGCAGAAAGCAATAGTGAGTGAGTGAGTGAGTATGGTTTTACGCCGCTTTTAGCAATATTCCAGCAATATCACGGTGGGGGTCACCAGAAATGGGCTTCACACATTGTACCCATGTCGGGAGTCGAACCCGGGTCTTCGGCGTGACAAGCGAACGCTTTAACCACTAGGCTACCCGACCGTCCCCAGAAAGCAATAGTCTACACTAATGTTTTGTGAGGCTGCCTGGTTATACAGTAACCCACCTTTGTGCAGTGATCAGCGAGGGGCTCCAGATCGTCCAGGGTTATCTTCATGCCTGAGAGGATGGTGGATTCCTGGTACCCTCTCTTCACATAGTTGGAGAACTCCACCTCAGGATACTGGAAGAAAAGTTGGAGGTTGACAGCAAACCCTGCCATGTCCATAGCAAATGGTCGATCTGGCTTCCAGTATGTGAACCAGCCAGTCACCTGCAACACACAAATTAGAAGCATCAGAGTTTGTTTGAGGTAAACTCAACTATTTCCATGTACTTTACGTCTGTAATAATCCATGAAGATCCAGGTAAGAATTCGTCTTCAGCAACCCATGCTTGTCAAAAGACTTATGGGATTATTTGACAAGGTTGTCAAGAACGAAGATGCATCATTAGTGGTTAACCACTTGTGTTAACAAACTGTGACCTGACATGGTACCTCCCTCGTGAAGATCCGGGTAAGAACTGGTCTTCAGCAACCCTTGCTTGTCGTAACAGGCGACTTACAGGATCGGGAGGTCAGGATCACTGACTTGGTTGATGCATGTCATCGTATCCCAATTGCGTGGATCGATGCTCAAGAAGTCAATCACAGGATTGTCTGGTCCCTACTCAAGATTATTTACAGACCGCCTTCATATAGCTGTAATATGTCTGAGTGCGGTGTTAAACAACAAACAAACTTCTGTAATCACCAATAAGTATCAACAGACATTGGTTATACAAGAATTGCATCCCTATGGCATCATGGTTGTCATTTACTGAGCCAAGAAAAGTGAATTGCCAGCACATTTCAACAGAGCCCTGATCCATTCAATAAATAAGAATGATCACTGTTATGTAATGTCCATATCGGCACATCAGAATTCAGAGTAACCTCCCCTTGGTCTGTATATTATGTACTAACCATGTTATGTTCTCCATGTTCTAGGGAAGGGTGGGATTTTGGGGAAAGAACATCATTTCTTCCAGGATATAATGGAAACAAAATAAACTGCTTCATGTTTTACTTGAAAAAGTACATCATTCACTAGATGTCCTGTAGGGTACGGAAGGATAACTCAGGTATTCGGGTAGGATGGGTCCAGAGTAGGACCCGGGTACCCACAGGACTACCCAGACCCGTGGTTAGTCACATAATATATTGTTTAATGACAAAAACTCACTATAGCTCAGTGGTTACTAGAGAACATTGTACTATACGGCGCCCCTATGTAATCGACGGTCCCCTGTACCAGTGCACATGCGCAATCGGAACCGGAACCAGATATAATTACAAACACGCCCGTGTTTCAACCTGTTCGATACTTGTTTAGTTATTGTCATTTCACGCTGATTTTCTCAAGTAAACTGATCGAACAAATGGAACTCTGTTCTTATTTAGTTACACTACAAGTCGCTGATGTTCGCATTTCTTTCTGACGATACACACATTCCTTTTGACTTGTATATGTCTGAGTAAAGATAAAGCTTCAGTCAACTTCAGAGTACATATGATCTGATTGTTAGATACATGCATCAAAATAGTTTTAGCCAGGGCTGCGGCAAAACTATTCCCAATCAGACATTTTGTTCCCAACTCTTGAGACCTACAGCCGGTACCTGGGTTGGGTCTGGACATAGGGGTAGGGTACTGGGGTAGTAAATTTGCCCTAATGTCCTGAGAAAATAATGACAGCCATGTTTAAAGTCATACTGAAATTCTGTTTGCAACATATTTATACAAATTGTAAGCTTGACAATCCTTGTAGTTTCCATAGGAAGGTCCAGGGGAATAGCTGGGATCATGCAGACAAAGTTACAGCTCTGTAACTGTGTAGTTTTAGAGGAGATGTCATAAAAATATAAGTTAGCAAAAACCTGGACGACAACGTCCATAATAAGCTCTCTTGACTTTCAGTCAGGTGAGCTGAAAATGTATTGTGGGCCTAGAAAAGGTTTGGCTTTATGTCTAGAAGCAGCGACAGAGAAATATTTCTGCCTCTAACAAAGACATAAAAACAGCAACACACCATTATTCAGAAGCATGACATGCCCAAGAATCCCGTCTAAATCTAAAATGCTAAATCTTATGGACGAATGAGCAACAATCCAATCAAGTATTACCACCCTGTTGTCGTTTGAATCATGGCACCTACCTTTCCATTTTTGACAACAGGACTTTCATATCTTAGACTTCCTACAAGACCAACTGGCCACACGGAGACTTTTTGTGTCTGTCGCATCTGGAACACAAATTAACATCCATTGGTCATCGTTACACATATTGTAGGAGCATGGAAAAATTAATATGCATTTGGGGGATGTAATACATATAAACCCCAACCCACACCCCATCTCCCACCCCCACCTATAATAGATGACAAGTCCCTAACCCTGTGACTTTGACCGTATTGACATATATAATTTTATTAACTTGTTAGACCTGCTTTCAGAGTTGATCCACAAAGCATTTTGAACAAAAACAATACTTGTTTGAAGTAACACCACTAGGATGCGAACAATGAGCAACTGTAAGCTTTACTGTCCTACAACAGGATGCAAACAATGAGCAACTGTAAGCTTTACTGTCCTACAACAGGATGCCAACAATGAGCAACTGTAAGCTTTACTGTCCTACAACAAGATGCCAACAATGAGCAACTGTAAGCTTTACTGTCCAACAACAGGATACAAACAATGAGCAACTGTAAGCTTTACTGTCCTACAACAGGATGCCAACAATGAGCAACTGTAAGCTTTACTGTCCTACAACAGGATGCTAACAATAAGCAAATGTAAGCTTTACTGTCCTACAACAGGATGCCAACAATGAGCAACTGTAAGCTTTACTGTCCTACAACAGGATGCCAACAATAAGCAACTGTAAGCTTTACTGTCCTACAACAGGATGTGAACAATGAGCAACTGTAAGCTTTACTGTCCTACAACAGGATGCCAACAATGAGCAACTGTAAGCTTTACTGTCCTACAACAGGATGCCAACAATAAGCAACTGTAAGCTTTACTGTCCTACAACAGGATGCCAACAATAAGCAACTGTAAGCTTTACTGTCCTACAACAGGATGCAAACAATGAGCAACTGTAAGCCTTACTGTCCTACAACAGGATGCCAACAATGAGCAACTGTAAGCTTTACTGTCCTACAACAGGATGCCAACAATAAGCAACTGTAAGCTTTACTGTCCTACAACAGGATGCCAACAATAAGCAACTGTAAGCTTTACTGTCCTACAACAGGATGCCAACAATAAGCAACTGTAAGCTTTACTGTCCTACAACAGGATGTGAACAATGAGCAACTGTAAGCTATACTGTCCTACAACAGGATGCCAACAATAAGCAACTGTAAGCTTTACTGTCCTACAACAAGATGCCAACAATGAGCAACTGTAAGCTTTACTGTCCTACAACAGGATGTTAACAATGAGCAACTGTAAGCTTTACTGTCCTACAACAGGATGCCAACAATAAGCAACTGTAAGCTTTACTGTCCTACAACAGGATGCCAACAATGAGCAACTGTAAGCTTTACTGTCCTACAACAGGATGCCAACAATAAGCAACTGTAAGCTTTACTGTCCTACAACAGGATGTGAACAATGAGCAACTGTAAGCTTTACTGTCCTACAACAGGATGCCAACAATAAGCAACTGTAAGCTTTACTGTCCTACAACAGGATGCCAACAATAAGCAACTGTAAGCTTTACTGTCCTACAACAGGATGCCAACAATGAGCAACTGTAAGCTTTACTGTCCAACAACAGGATACAAACAATGAGCAACTGTAAGCTTTACTGTCCTACAACAGGATACAAACAATAAGCAACTGTAAGCTTTACTGTCCTACAACAGCCTGAGCATATTCACATAGAGAAACCGGATCCAAAAGGAGTCTAAAATCAAAGTACACAATTAATGCTGAAGGGGGCACAGGTGGACCAGTCGTCTCAGGCACCACAATTCGCTGTGCTGAGTGGCGTCCTTTAAGCACGCCAGAAACCTGTGATTGTGGGATCGAATCCAGGTTCACCCTGATAATGTTTCAAGGTTTTTCAGCACCATACCCATGTTTGTGGTTTTCACCAAAGGGGTAAACGTCTAAGACCTGCATTACCTCGGGCTTTCCTCCAAAATTAACCTGACACGCTGTGATTTAACAGGAGTGCAGTTCAAAATGGCATCAAGCCCAACTCACTCACTCACACACATAATCCTGTAATACATACCTCTGCAAATATCTTTAGATCATATGTATTGTCATCGTCGGCAAAATACACAACACCAGGCTGTTTTTCAGGATTCAGGTTTTTTCGTAACCATGACAACCCCATATTCCTCTGTAATACACCTCTTGGTTTTAACCAGTTAGGATCATCCAATTTTAATTTAACTTCTTTAGGTGTGAGAATGTTTAAATGTGTGTAAGATAAGCCACACAGATTCAAGAAGTTGGTGACTAGTTTAGTTCTTAATGCTGAATCTTCTATCACTATCCAATGAAAATTTGGCAGGTGAAGAAAAGTCTGTGACAGCCTGGTCAGTTCAGCTTTCTGCTCACTTCGATTGTAAGTGGGCGTAATGGCATATATAACAGGCATTGACTGATCAAACACTCGATTGTTCTTCCCCCGAACTTCCAGATTTAAGATGAGGTCTTGTATTTTCTTTTCTGATGTTCTCAATTTGTCCCCGGCTTCTCTAACTTCTTTGTCTTTTTCTTTTATTTGGTCTCTATATCTGGCCAACAAATTTTCCAATTTTTGTTCATTTTCATTCGGACACCATACACCTGAAACAAAGATGGATCAGTTTAAGACACTGCAAATGCACACAATGCAGTGTTGTCTGCTCGGTTATTCCCAACCTAGTTCCTTCTATGACCAACACGACCCGAGAGTATGTACGCCAATAACAAGAAACCTTGTATTCCATGCAGGACAACAAAGATATCATAAATAGTAGGAATGGGTATTGGAGGTTTAAAGTGTCTCACAATATTTAGCGATGCACAAGGCCGTATTGGAATATGTATCACACTATATTGTATAATCCTAAATTTTGAATTCAGAAGCAATCTGATACATTAAGCAATGAATAATTGAAGTTCATAAACGGAACAAAACAAGATGCTGGTACAACATGATGTTTATTCAATCAATAAATACGCAGCCATATTGGGGCCCCGGATGCATGCTGCGGGGCACCGAAGGCATTTGACAAGAAAATAACATTAAACACATGATAAAAATTGCTATTTGACATCACCCAATATATCGAGCATGATAAAAGGATATTGTGATATGTACCGGGAAAGAATGAACCTCAATTTACCAAGGTACCGATAATACAGCACATCCTCAATAAATAGATATGAGAAGTACCTAACAAGTTTTGCAAAGAAAAGATAACATCCTGAAATTTGCAGGGTACTGAGTTCTACTCTGCTTTAGAATAACAGGGTTGCAGTGATCCAGTCTTTGACCTTAATCAATACTGAGTGAGTGAGTGAGTGAGTGAGGTTTTACGCTGCTTTTAGCAATATTACAGCAATATCACAGAAGGGGACCCCAGAAATGGGCTTCACACATTGTGCTCATGTCGGAAATCAAACCCGGGTCTTCGGCATGACAAGTGAACGATTTAACCACTAGGCTACCCGACCGCCCCCATAATCAATACTGACTAAAATGATCACCTATTGACAGTGCCAGGTGTCCTCATTGATTATTAGTGAAAAGTGTTACTTTATATGCATAATTCTCATCCAATTCTCAACCAGTGAGCAAATCGATGAATAATTTAAGCCATTTAACAGTCATTTTCCATTACAAAAATACAGTATTTAAGCACTGTTAAAAACAGACACTTCAATATGTAAATGAACAAAACCTCTGTAACCAACAATGATAAGAGGGTCTTCGATCATGTCGATACAGATGTGTCTACAACATCCTATTTATTCTGTCCTTCCGTGTAAAATCAACTTACCAAAATTGACCATAAAACACATGAAGACCATCAGAATAACTCCAAAATAAAGGTACCAAATTCTTGCAGACCTCATGAGATACATTGCTGACTGTTGCCCCTCCACCAGTGTAGAGATCACATACAGCAATGATTGGCGTATCTGAAATAGAAGGCATCACACATAGGTCACACATGTAAAAAGATTTCACTTATAAATAATCACATGCTATACAACCGATAATTCTCTTAAACGTTTCAATATGGCAACTAAGATCAATTAACCAGGGTCCCGTTGTACAAAGCGATCTTAGCGCTAAGGTGATCGTAACTCCCATACCTTAACATAGACTTACGACAGTCGTAGCGCTGAGGTCGTAACTCCCATACCTTAACACAGGCTTACGACAGTCGTAGCGCTAAGGTTGTTTTGTACAACGGTGGCCAGGGTGTCGTTGTACAAAGCGATCTTAGCGCTAAGGTGATCGTAACTCCCATACCTTAACATAGACTTACGACAGTCGTAGCCCTAAGGTTGTTTTGTACAACAGCACCCAGGATCCTGACACAAGTGGAAATCTGAAAGGTCACTTAATTGTTTTCTTCCAAAATACACTTGTATGTTTTTAACCACAAGTTCAATATGAGTTGTGGACTAGTTGGATTTAACTCATGGTTTCTACCTTTAGTAACAGTTATTTGGTTGAAACATTGCCAACAGTTATGAGGCAGGGTGCAATTTTGGGGGTGCTCATGTAGCGGCCATAACATTTCCGAGACCCGTGATGAGATTCGAACCACAGACCTTCTGACCGAGGTCGGACACCTTGTCCGCATGACCAAAGAGGTTAACCCCGTCAGCAAGCTGACATGGTAGGATGTCACCTGTGGGACGGCTTCATGCCCTGCTACATACTCCCTCGTCAACAGAAGGCACATCCCGGGCCGCATAGTAGGGTACTGAGGCTTATTTTTCTCAAACTTAATATGAACATGCTCAACCCTACGTTGTGCGCCAATGTAGCGGCCACAAAATTTTCGAGTCTGTGATGCAAGCTGACAAGGTAAGGATGTCATCTGTGGGACGACTCCATACCCTGCTACACTTACATATGTTAAATATGTTGGCAGCTGTTTTGTTTCAAGGATCCAAAGGCTAAGGCAGAATGGGGATAATCTACACTAAACCCAAAAACAACTGACGCATATCATCAAAGAGGCATACATAAAAATGTATTTACCAATACTAAATACCAAGCGCGGGTGGTGAACAGATTCCATAATCTCACCGGAAACATACATTATTATAGAAACAATAATAATCACCTAAATACATGTTTATGTCCAGAATCCCAGTTTAAATGTTTGGTTGACTGCCTGGTCCGAAATAAGAACAATAATTGATGAGTAATAAATGTTTAAAATTTAAAGAATTAAAGTTATGAACATTCATTCGAAGTTTTATGAGAATCTATTTTCATTGCTGTTGGTGTATTTGGTGTCAGCTAAAATCAGTGGTCACCTAACTCGGCAATTGTATCAGCTATGTGCTATGAATATATCTCTGCATTGGTGGTGTTTGAGGAACTGATACATCCTTAGGGCCACAATGCACTGGTAAGCTACCAATCACATAAAGCTGAGCGTTTCATTAATATCAACTCTCCCGGTCTCTGTTCTTAGCCAGACAGTGGCAAATAGCTGCCCGTACTTTTATTATACGTCGTTGAAATCTAATTCGCCATCTTGACGTGTTTACCTGTATTGCAGTATGGCTGACTTCCACGTCCTTACGTTTACACCCATCGTGTCCGCAGAGGCTTCGCACTTCGACATCAGGCAGCCCGATACCTGTTCTCTGAAGTTTGAAGGAAGGGAGGTAACTCTCGCGTACCTATCAGCAAGACAAGCTTTCCTCGCGGGTCGTCACCAACCACGGTCTCAGAAACATGTGTAATTGCCATTTTATTTCGTTTTGGCCCCTCCGTTTTTACAGACGATCGTTATTTAAATCGAAAAAATAAATGATGAATTCTTATATTTCAATGAAAGAGATCAGTTATATAGTTATAGATCTGTAAGTACCTTTAGAGCGCAATAAACCAATAAACTCACTCATATCATGTGTGAGACCGGAATAAGCTTCTCCTTGCTATGAAGAGCAGCAAAACGGGGAAAATAACTAAAATGGAAAAAAAATACTATATCGATTTTAACATTTGCCACACAAAAAAGTAAGAAATGTTTTATTCTTTATAAAAACCTCAATAAGGGATCTGAGGAAAAAAACTAATAGATCTAGTTACTTTAGAATAGCCTTATGCGAGAATAGTTTATAGCATACAAGCATATAAGGTACTCTCGTATACTTTTTCAAATGTTTGGATCCACAACAATTTCTAGTTTACGGGTCCTAAATGAAAGATACGCAGACTTGTGTTGAATTACAATACGTGATTATCAAACCTCAGTAGCAGGCTTGCGAATATGGGAAGAACGAAAACTTTTTCTTATTCTATAAGTTTTTTCTTTTCGTTGTATCAACTCTACCCGTGGTTATTCCGAGTAAGAATATAACCACCCACACACCACACACCCCTAAATGGATCGGGTGGCGAGACTCGGTTACTTGATTGACTGCAGGTGATCGTTTCCCAATTGCGTAGATCGATGCCCGTGATTGTGTGTCCCTGAACTTTTACGATCCAGACTGATATTTACATACCTTTGATGTAGCGGGAATATAGCGGAGTGTGGCATTAAACAACAAATTAAAATTCAATTTATGTTGGCTAAGTTTGTGAATAAATATTATATATATCCTTATACTTAGGTGAAAGGGGAATCGACGTTCTCATATTTTTTCTGTTATATTGTATAATCCATATAGATCCAAATATGCAGTTAAGCTTGGTAAATAAAAAATAACGTGTGTGATAATATTTTCCTTCGACCTTCAGCTTTGTTAAGTAATGCCAACATTGTTGTAACTTGTAATGTATTACATACACTGTTATTACGTAATGTGACACATTGTGTTTCTGGTTATTTTCCGACAGGCTGTTGAATAAAGAATACACGCTTGTTGTAGTGCTGTTAACAAGGGGAATAGGTGATCATTACATTCGTGTGTGAACCATGCTATTTTTACGAAGTTGTGTCAGATTCGGTGTTTTAATCGATATCATATATATCATATAATTTGTTTGTTTGTTTGTTTGTTGTTTAACGTCGCACTCAGCAATATTCCAGCTATATGACGGCAGTCTGTAAATAATCGAGTCTGGACAAGACAATCCAGTGATTGACATCATAAGCATCGATCCACACAATTGAGATCGATGACGTGCATCAACCAAGTCAGCGAGCCTGACCACCCGATCCCGTTAGTCGTCTCTTAGACAAGCATAGTCGCCTTTCACGGCAGGCATGGGTTGCTGAAGACCTATTCACCCGGATCTTCACGGGTCATATATCATATAACATAATTCAGACACGTTTCATAAAAACAGTACGACAAAGACTATTAACTAATGTAAAAATGTCTACGTTTTCGTCCATTCGATGCTTATTTAAGTTTATTTACCATGTTGCGACATTTCAGTTCAGACACATAATACTAATGCCTTAATAAAATACGGGTGCAGGCTAAAACGGCACCTCAGCAAAACGTCACCGATTTCTCTGGCGAAAACGGCACCGCATTTGGCGAAAACGGCTACTATGTGATAGGCGAAAACGGCACCTCTATTTACCAGGAGGGTATTCTCTTGGCCTCACAAAAAATGTCCTGGACAGTAGGGGGCTAATTTCTACTGTAAACTTGTTTAAACATTTCACTATTATTAGTGTTTGTAAGAGGCGATGTGAGTTTAATTTCATTATTTTACTTCAAGGCATGTTATGTTTTCACAATAAGTTGAGTTGTGTATTGGCTAAGTTGGAAAATAGTTGGAGTAGAGGCTAAATTCTAATGTAAACTAGTTGTAACATTTCACAATTATTGGTGTTTGCAAGCGACCATGTTAGTTTTATATCATTTATTTTATCAAGGTTAAAAAAACATAAGGTGCCGTTTTCGCCAGGCATTAGTAGCCGTTTTCGCCTGAGGCGAGGTGACGTTTTCGCCAATCGGTGCCGTTTTCGCCAGGTGACGTTTTGCTGAGGTGCCGTTTTAGCTATAACCCATAAAATACCCATCTGGTGAAATTGTGTATACACTGGGATTCAATAACAATTACTTGTTTTCTATGCCAATAAAAAATACTGTCAAATACTATCGTTGTGTTTCTCCCGACCCGACCCGTGAAGATCCGGGGTAAAATGGGTCTTCAGCAACCCATGCTTGCCATAAAAGGCGACTATGTTTGTGGTAAGAGGCGACTAACGGGATCGGGTGGTCAGGCTCGCTGACTTGGTTGATGCATGTCATCGATCCCAATTGCATGGATCGATGCTCATGATGTCAATCACTGGATTGTCTGATCCAGACTCGATTATTTACAGACTGCCATCATATAGCTGGAATATTGCGGTGCGGCATTAAACAACAAACAAACTTAATGTACAACAAAGGGCAGAATTGAAGTAATCTCATTTATTTTGCACTTCTCATATGACAAGGATAAGTATTGTACACACAAATGGAAGGTAAACCATCATACATTGTCATCTAGTCAGCAGAGTTCTGAATAAAACTTACATGTTTTACTGAGCAACATGGTACATATGTCACATATGTAGTATGAAGATAATATACAGATGTACTGTCAACACATGCAGTATCTACACATGACATTCTGATGGAATCACATGGCCCATACAATACTTGAGGAAAACAACATTCTTGTATGTGTTAATCAAATGCAGTCATACTTGGGTAGTACCACTAATAAACACATTATACATCATTTACATATTTACTGTGTGAACTGACATGCTAACTGTCATAAACAATGTGTTTGTACTTTTCAAATGCTAGGAATTGTCCATGCTGCAGAACTGAAAAAGACTGTAATTGCTAATGGGGTTTCTATCATCAATCTGACCGTGAACAGTAAATAAGAAACGATATGCTTTTAGATGACTTGATAAAAAAAGGTGAACAATACAAAAATCTTTGATAAATTCCATGTACAAAAGTGATGTAAATTGTTGGTAAAATTTCAACAACAAAATAAAAGAAACAAAATATAATATGCTACTCATAGATCTTCACAAAATAAATCCAACATAAGTGGACTTTAATAACACAAGCCAATGCAAAATCATAATTTTACACATTTCTTCCAGATACCTTTATGTGAATATGCAGATTTAGCAAACTATATGAATAAATTAACATCTATATGATCAAGACAAATTTAAATTACATTTGAGGTTACATAATGACCCCTGAATTAGAACTAATTATATCTCCAGAAAAAAAAAATACATATCTGATGAAAAAACACCAAGACAAAAACCAAACAAATTATGGTGATGAAGAACTTGAGAAAGTGAAAGAAACTGTATGTAAACATACTTATTCATGAATATTATTGGATTCGTCAGGAAACCAATTAACCAAACATATTCAGTTTAAAGTTTAGAATCTGTAAAGTTCAACTTATACAAAAATATGTTTATTCCTCTATCTGTAAAATAAAATGGTAATTTGAATATGACAAGTTGCCAGATGCAACTCTAGTAAAAATACATGAATATCTACAAAATGTTAAATATACACGTCACATCTGCCAATATCTTTTGTACAGATTGCTGAATTGAAAGATGTCATGGATTAATAGTCATTTCTTTTACAAACAGTATATACAATGCATAAGCTTACCTACCAAAGACAGCACAAGTGGAGCCTTGTAAACCTACACAACAGAACATGCAGGTAACGAGACTACCAAGTAAATACATTACTATGTAACAAGGTGTCGAGAATGACATTGTGGTTTGGAGATGGTAATTTATGATAGGGTTGGTGGATGGAGGAATCTGAGGTTCATCCAAAAAGAAGAGATGTTCTTGTAGAGTGTCATTGACATAGCAGCCCAAAAGCTACATGTGAATTCTTCACCGACTCTGTGGAAGTGTGAGTGAGTGAGGGAGTATGGTTTTACGCCGCATTTAGCAATATTCCAGCAATATCACGGCGGGGGACACCAGAAATGGGCTTCACACATTGTACCCATGTCGGGAATCGAACCCGGGTCTTCAGCGTGACAAGCGAACGCTTTAACCACTAGGCTACCCGACCGCCCCTACTCTGTGGAAGAAAGACTGACCTGTGTAACATCTATTTGCATTCAAATGCCTTCATTGTGTAAAGAAACTACAGCCATAAGACACTCATTGTCTATGAAAGGCATGGAATTGATCACGCAATAGGTAAAATTCAACCAAAATATTAACTATCCTATGAATGACATCTAGGAGTAGTTGGGTGTAATGCTGGTTTGAAAAAAACATTTGTTATATCACAGCCTGTCAGATTAATGTGGCAGGAAAGCCTGAAGTGATGTAGGTCATGGACGTGAATCTTACCACCCAGCACAGGCAAGATGCTCACTAAACAAGAACAGATAAGTAGGACAAATCTTAGATGCAAACCAGTGACCTTGAGATTCTGGCATGACAAAGGGTAAAAAATAGAACAGAGCCATTTCCCTGGTAATGAGTGAGTGTATTGGTTTTAAAGCTGCTTGAAAAGAAAGTAATTCTGTTACCTGGGGTACATCACAGCATGTGAGCTTATTGAGGGAGGAAACCACAAAGTGTCACATGTTGCAAACATTTACAACTCATGTGATATCATGTTGCACAGGTATGGTGCAGACAACACAAGGAGTATAATCACAGCATATTTGGGATTCAGACTTATAGTGGATGCTGGCAGGGTAGACCTTGAACTGTTTCATAGGCATTACTTAGAAGTTGACGGATATTTGTGTCTACTTTTCCTTAGACCTTGTTGTTAGGAATGAAGCAAATTAGCTGTGATACAATTGAGCACCAACAGCATCACCTTGGCAGGTACAAATAATGTTAATCCAAAGGATGGCTATTCACCATTTGTAGACAACCATGTAATAACAAGTCAAGCAACCATCAATAGTGAGCGAGTGAGTTGGGTTTAACGCCGCTTTTAACAGTTTTCCAGTTATATCATGGCGCGTCAGCTTAATGTGGGAGGAAAGCCCGAAGTGATGCAGGTCTCAGACGTTTACCACTTTGGTGAAACCCACGAGCACGGGTATGGTGTCAACCATCAATAAACATGGACACATCCCATATTGATAGCTAAAACATCTTTCAGATGAGATATACCTTTTTGAAATAAAAAGGCTGCAGTAAAATGCATCTTTTGTTTATTTTGTGTCACAAGTAAACTGACAATAAAATAGAAGGTTGCAGTAAAATGGATCTTTCTCTATTTCTCTGACACCAGTACATATTTGGACAGCTGGATCACATTGGGAGGGTACCAGAATACTCTGGGTACAGAATCTAGATCCCATCCTGTAAGAAAGTACCTGTCCCCATCACTGGTGTTGGTTACATCAATGAACAGGGTTATTCTAGGATAGATAACACTTGTATTTCACCTTTTATTCACAAGTTTTCAGAGAGCATATCACAAGTAATATTGACAGAGCAGTGGGCAAACCATCCAACCAAATGTCAGACCATTGATACTCATAAGCTGAATGATGCGAACTTTCCAGCAGTCCGTGAAATCTGCCAAAAACATGGACACTTTTGTACCAGAGATGTGTTTTTGAAACTAGGAAATAAATTTAATCCTATCAGATTTCTTTCATATTAAAACATACTTCTTCATGTAAATATACCATTGTGAAGCAGAGCCCCCATGTCACAAAGATATGATGAATCCTTATATAAATACAGTAACAGAATTTGAATTTATGGATCAAATGGCAAATGGCAACTCATTCACAAAATTATACTTATACTGTTAATGATATGCTTTCACTGAGATTTGTTACTTACATTGATAATGCTAACTTGGACTATGAAGATAACAGAACCATTAGTCTATCAACTTACATCAACTAACCAACAAAGAGATGATACCTGCACTGACTACAAATGTTCTTATAAGGACTTGGTCTTCGCCAAAAGAGACCAAGTTGGGCAAGATGGGTGATCTCCCCTGATCTGACCAAAAGACAGCAAACACTCACTCTATTTATGAATACACTGATAGATATACTACTCAAAAGAAGTTAAGGATCACCTGATTCTTTCATATTACAATAGTTAATCTCTCATGCCATGACAGATTAACATTACCAATATGAAAGAATCGGGTGATCCTTAACTTCTTTTGAGTATTATATATTCAGCAGCTACATTATCGCCTTCATGATTGCTGTCTGGTCCCTGATCACAATTAGCAATATCAACATTCACTTAAACTAAATAAAATGCTACTCAAAAGAAGGTAAAGAACACCCAGTTTTGTCATATGACTATAGTTAATGTGTGATGGCCATGATAGATTAACTATAGTCATATGAATACAACAGGCTGTTTTTAACTTGTTTTGAGTACTATATACTAATGTTTGTTTTACACATCTGATAGAGCTGATTGCTTATTTAACATGAAACAATACGGACTAATCACTAGCAATGCTGATCCGTAACATCCTGTAATACATGTAGAAATGTTAATCAAATTATTATGCTACAACTGACAGTTTCATTTGGTAAATCATGAACACTGCTGTGAAAGTTGCTAGGAAGTTTATTGTATTTGTAACAAAACTGTTCGACATTTGTTCAAGTACCAATTGGATGACATAGATATATTTCTGTGCACCTTCAAATATGATGCAGCCATTCAGCAAAGTACGCATCTTTAAAGGTTTAATTTAACTCAAAACCTAATAAGTCACAAATCTGAGGAAAGAGCATCTACACAGATACATGACACAACAGGCAGTTCCAGATGCAGACCACAAGTGTTTCTTCTTGCAACCAAATGTATGCATTTCAAGACACAGATATATGTGATTATTGCCTTATTGTCCTATTAAAGTCATTAACATCCTTCGTGTATTGTACTTCTCCATGTGCAACATGCTTACATACAGTAAAAACAGTCATCAAACCAGGTCATGCTGATGCCATTGCTCTGATCGGTTCGTTTCTTGTTAATGCCATATTCAGCAATATTCCAGCAATGGCAGCAGCCCATAAAAAAATGAAAAATGGACCAGACAAACCAGTGATTGATATTATAAGCAATGACCCACACCTTCGGGGCATGATGACACATTATCAATCAAGTCACTGAGCCTGACCACCCGATCTATGAACTTGCCTTTTATGGCCAGCATTGGTTGCTGGGGACCCATTCTAACCCGGAATCCTCATGGAGTCTGAACTGACATCAATCAAACCATTTTTCTTTGAAGGTGATGATGCTTGACATTGTGATTTGATACAAAGATTGTCCTTTAATAACTAATGGTGCAACTCTTCAAGGCAAGAGTTTCTTATTGCATAGTTAGAATCTTCCAGTCTGATTGTATTACCACTGAATCAAATGGCTATCAATGCATCTTCCTACACACTAGTCTCTGGGTCTGGAACCTCTTCCATTTCATGGCTGACATGAGAGGCTAATTATGATGATACCAGACTGTTATAGAAAGAAGAAACTAAAACAATTCAAAAACACACATTCAACACTGTACAGGTTGTAGGGTCGCTGAGCCATGCTGCTGATCTTTGTGCAAGACACAAATTATGCCTTCAAATGTTTTAGTCATCCACAAGGACCAGCGTCCTATTACCGGTACACCAAACAGTACCTGCACTATGACCTCCAATACCCATACACTTTGAAAAGAATACTTCATGAATACTTCATGAACCTAACCATAGCGCTAAGGCCAAACTCCTGGTCTTTCGGTTTACGGATTCTGCTGAGCGGAGACAAAAGTCACATTTAAAAACAGAAATAATGCAAGTCTGTTTCGATTTGCTCGCCAACTCCATCTTTAATGGATAAAAGGATATCCATACAAAAATCGAAAAACATATTTTCGCAACTTTTAATCTTTTAAATGATAATTGATCAAGATTCTGGACACAGTAAAGGAAAACACTTTTGAAAGGATACTTCAGATTATTTTTTTGTTCTGAATAAGTTGCTATATTTGCAGTGATAGTTAAGCTTGTCCCATTGTTGCTGTATTGTAACCTTTTGTCTTGCAGTTTAAGATATTGTAGGCACCATTTTTTCTGTGGATAACACCGAAGTTCACATTAATTAATGATTTGATTATTATTGCTTTACTTTTATTATATTTAGCATCAGCTGAATCCGTAAAAGAATCAAGAAAAAAAGCCTTGCCTTATAAATATATATATATGTATATATATATATATATATATATATTTATTTGAGGTTCAGTTTGAAGTTGACGATGGTGGAAACTCATCTCCAGGTATTTGTATTTGTGTTCCTGCATTGAACTGATACTCAGTACGTGTAGAACATCACAAATATAGTGTGTATGTACACAAAAAACAACAACATTCTTTTATACATGAAATTTTGGAATATTGACTAAACCATGTACAGTTGCTACCACTGTGTTGACAATAACATGTCTCCCCCATACATAGGCTTCTACTGTGTGAAACAATCAACAGAATAGATATAACAGACAATTAAAAGAAATATCAATCAAAAGACACAGTTGTTAGCTAAAGTGATTAAATACTTGAAGCAGCCATCAACAAATAAACAGGCTAAAAATGAATTTATACACATCACATTGATAAAAATCACAATTTCTCATAGAGACTAAAATATCCATGAGGATGATGAGGCTTGCACTAAAACCAATAACAGGTTGGTAGTAAAATCACAAACAAAGACTGGCAATATTTAAATTACGTGGATAAAACATAGAAATGACAATGTCACAAATATTGTTTCACTTTTCTCATAAATGTTAGAATAAGAAGGTTATTCTTTAGAAGTTTTGAGCAATGAGAAAGACATCCTCGATTATCCAGGGCATTATACGTCCAGTTTTTTATCCTACATACCCTGACCCATTCGGTACCTTGACTTCGCTTTCAGCCCAATTCGAGTAGTTATCCAATCAAATTACTCTCTTGCATGAAAGAAATTCTTTGCTTAGTTAGAGATGGGAGCAATGGAGATGGTGACGTCACTTCCGAAACAAAGCTATGGTGGAGAATGAGTCCAGGACATTTATCAATATAGAATGGAGAAACTATACACTGGACAATCAAGGATGTGACAAAGAATATATCTTATAAACAGTTATCTTGTTCTTCATACAATTATTTAAAAGGATATCTATGAAATCTCGGAGTATTTGCATGAGTATTATTCCTATAAGGTAGGGTACCTCAATGTTGCTTACCATAAATAATATTGATCCCTTGGGAAATTAATTTCTGATATGTGGCCTATGATCTTCCATTCTCATTTAAATCAGATCTTTACTCTGATGATACCTTTCTCTGTGAAAATCTGAGAACACCAGCTTGTATCTGGTGAATTTCTATTCAGACAAGTATCTCCGATTTCTGCATCTTGAAAATGATTTAATATTTAACACATCTTGTCATTTGTGATTGTCATGGTGTCAACACCCGAAAGATTATTTTCAATGTTATATTTGTGTTTTTGTGACACTCTTCTTTTGCAGAGATCCAAATTTCCAAATCAAAGGGGTAAGAAAGCCGATATCTTATTGGCACAAGAACCCATGCATCCTTCATTTTGCTCAGGTAGACAAGTTAGCTCAGGCTTCACCTGACACGACCTCTTATGCTGGTGTCCTCAGTTCTTTATGCAGATAGACATCATATCGGATTTATATGAAATTGGTCTTGACAGAAGGGTTGTTAAAAAATTAATCAATCAGTACATGCGCATAATCTATATTGTGTTCAGACTTAAGCATGAGAGTCAAAGGGTTCTTCCTTATCACAACCCTGATATAAAAACTTCATTATATAGGTGCCCCCTCCATCCACCACATCCCCCCCCCCAAAAAGATTCAAACACTACTGCAGTCAAATTCAGATAATAACATTTTCAAGTTATGAGATAATAAAGAGAGAATTCAAATGCAACATTCTTAAATGTCCTTACTCAGACAAGAGGAGGTTGTTATAAGCACATGAAGATTTCCCGTAATGGCAGAGTCTACAACAAGTAGACTGTCTCTACTACAGTGTTACAGTGTGGACCTGATGTGTATTGTCAATGTGATTATTCATTTCAGTTGAATGATATCATGTCCATCATAACCATCAAAAACAAATTCACACACTTCTAAAACAGATTGTTTGATACAATCGCAATCATAATTTCTATACAAAATTTCTATAAAAACGAAAGTATTGCTGGGCCTCCAGGGTGCTTATGACTAGGTCACGGGAATGATGGGAACTCATTGTTTTGATGATGTTATTTTCTAAAAAGATTATGGTAGATGCAACAGACTCATAAAGCAAAAAAAAAAATCAAGATATCAGATTCTTATGTTTCTCCCTTCTGTAAGTATCAAATATAATCAAAACCCTTCGGAGGATATTGCAGAGCTTGATGTCTTTGGTGTTCACTCACAACATGGCTTAATGTCACTATAATCTCAATTCACAGGGATGATATATTGATAATCATAACCCATGTACTGAAAAGCCAAAAAATGCTTCAGATCAGATGGTTATTTAAAACATGCCTGATGAACATGGTGAACAAAATTCTTATTAGGATTATCAAAATATTTGGTTTTGGGAATTGAAGTCCTGCCTATTAGTTTTATGACTGATAATAAGGCTGGGACGAGTCAGAATTCACTACCCGGGTAGTGCGGTACCCAGCCCCCTACTACCCGACACCAACCGGGTACCCGCTGTAGGTCTCAAGAGATGGGTACAAAATGTCCAATTGGGAAAGGTTTGACCAGATCCCGGGCAAAAAGTATTTAAGTACACTATTAAATTATCTGGTCATGCATACACTAAAGTTGACTGAAGCTTTATCTTTTTTCAAACATATAAAAGTCAGAACTAATGCGTGCGTAGTCAGAAAGAGATGTGAACATTGGTGACTTGCAGTGTAACCATGGGTCCGGGTATTCCTGTAGGTACCCAGGTCCTACTCAGTACCCAAATTACCCATCCCAACCCTGAATAAGCATGATAAATTTAACAAAAGTTGTATTTTTTCTGGCCTCAATATGCCATTATGGAAGCCAAAAACTAGATAGTTAGATACAGGCAAGTTTACTCTACACTGGCTTTTGAGTTTGAAAAGCACTTGGTGAACTTAGAAATCCTGGTGACCTGGTCATTTCAGAAAAGAACTTCATATTTACAGTTGAGAACAACTAGGAATTATGAATTATCTGTCCTAAGTGAATTCATTTTGTAAGTCTTGAGTTCTGGGGCACTTTCACCATTGTTTCACGAGTTGCAAGGAAATGGAGACATCAGGGCCCACTTGCACAAAACGATCTTAGCGCTAAGATGATCGTAACTCCCATACTTTAACATAGGCTTACGATAGTCGTAGCGCTAAGATCACTTTGTGCAAGTGGGACCAGCTCTTGTTGCAATAACAGCATATAAAAACCTCTAGGAAACATCTTCAATTATATGCAACAGTGTGTTTACATGTCGACATGTCGTTATGGCTGCTATCACAAACAATAAAAACAATTGGTGTCAACTAGCCCATCAGCATGAAGCCAAAAATATGATCCTCAGTAAGAATCACTGAAAATAAATGCATCGATGTAACATCATGATTCCTATGTAATCTTTGACTGACTCTGAGCCCTGAAGTTGGTCGATCCTACACATATTATCAGTAGTGTTCAAGGAGGTACTACAGGTACATGTGTTTAAACAAACGTGGTGATATGTAGCAACTTAAAGCAACATTGCATGTTAAAACATGAAGTTTGAGACATTCTTCACTCCTACATAAACATACGAACATTCATGGCGGAACCGGAAGCCCCATGAAAACCATACAGTAACGTCACCATTCAATGGCGACGTTATCTTGGCATCCTGGATGACTAGGTATAATCTCAAAGCAGGAAGCAAAAGCCTATGTGCCATATACTGTGTAACATTTGACATGGTATGGATTGTCTCCCCTTACTTACGGTGAGACTGGCATCACTGAATCATACACCAGTGCCGACCATGTCAGATATGTCACAGTGATGGGGATACTTATCAAAGCATGCACATACTTTACACCTGACTACAAGCAATGTAAGTGCTTGGACTCAGCAGGAAGCAGGAAGGAAATGCTTATTGCTATGTCGGTTGAAATAGACGTCAATGGTGAAGCTAGCAGAGGCAATTCAGTACTGTGGTGCTGTGACAAGCAACTTTTGGCAAAGTGGTTGTGTTTTAATATTATCTGTGTTTTCAAATGGTAAAATATTTACATACTGTACACTTTATAGTAATGATAAGCCAAGCAGCTGGGAAGACATTGGCCAAACAACACTATGTATCTGGTACATAATACCATATTAAAGATATCTCCTCTCAGCCATCTTTCATCAAACTTTTCAGTCACAAAAACTATGAGCCATTTTTATGTTATCAAACGAACAAGTTTTAGAATTATAAAATAAAAACATTCAAAACTAAATTCAATGACTCATGGTAAATTAAAATCATACCACCGATCTAATTATTTCACAACAGTATGTAAACATTTACCTTTGACTCATCAAAGTTAAACTAATGATCAAAAACTGGCTTCGTAGAATAACATTTGATATTACAAGATTAATAAACTTCAATAACACTGGCACTTTAAATAAGTAACTGATCGAAATGTAACATTTAAAATCAACAGAATTTAACAGCATCCAAAAACAATACCATGTTGAAAAGGAAACAAACCCTTTGCTATAGGTAATGGATGATAATTTCAAAAGCTTCACATTAGCGTTGTGAACGCACTTGCAAAAAACAACCCCAATACAAGTATGTGACCATCACTGTACAATAATACCATTCATCAGCAACAGTCACAGTATTAAGACTGCTTTCAGCATGCTGTCCACAACCCACATTTCAACCTACCCAGATTCTTTTCACCTTTGCTTTAATGCATGTGCATGCACAAGCACCATGACAGTACCTGAAGTATATTTTTTCTTGCATTGATCCCTGATGATAATACTTGATCGTGGCCTTGAAAGGCCATGTAAAGTATCTACATGCTCCGACTTGTAAATAAGGCACAGAAGGCAAATGCAGTTTCAGACCATTCTGGTAATATCAGACATGACCAGTGAGAAGCTGCCCATTTGCGTATCACCTCCGCATGGCTGAGGATTGTTGGGAGGCATTCCTTTGTTCCTCTTCAGTGGGTTCGGGTATGACAGCCTGGAGAGCTGCTGGCGTTAGCCACTCCTTTGGTATTGCTTTCTCGATGAAGGGAATACAAGAGCTCATATATGCTAGCCTGTTGACCCAACTGGGCAGTTCCTTTCCACAAATGATCTGAAACAAGGATCTTTTGATTGTATGAAACTTGACAAGCATGAAGACAGTGGGGTGAAACAAATGATCAAACTGTTGCATGATGCATTATTTTATGCCACATGTGATATGGTGATAGGAAATATAAACCATAAAATACTACGTTGTTCTACGTACCACTAAAAACCCTAGTCAGAACTTTACAAATAATGTTAATTCACAATTTACGCAATGATTAACACTATTTGAAGAGGCATACATGAATCTATGAATGTAGAAACTGTTTGTAACAAATTATAATCAGTACTCAAAACTTCAAACTCCCTACCTGCAATTTTCATATGCAGTGTTCAAATCACTATAAACTTACTAAAGAATCAATGCTAACTTACCAAATGAAAATATTTTAGAACTACTTTGCATTGTTTGTTTGTTGTTTAACGCCGCACTCGTCAATATTCCAGCTATATGACGGCGGTCTGTAAATAATCGAGTCTGGCCAGACAATCCAGTGATTGACATCATGAGTATCAATCCACGAAATTGGGATAGGATGACATGCTTCAACCAAGTCGACGAGCCTGATGACCCAATGCCATTAGTCGCCTCTTATAAAAAGCATAGTCGCTTTTTACGGCAAGCATGGGTTGCTGAAGACCTATTCTATCCCGAATCTTCATGTGTATTTTTATAAAAGGGTGTTTGTTTACATACAAAAACATGCATCTCCATCCCTACCATTTCATGAATGTAATTATGAGCAGCAGCAAATGATTGAACACCTAGTAAAACATAACAAGTACTGTCATGGCCAAATTTTAATGGCAGTTGACAGCAGCAAGTAGGGCTTTCCAGATGGAATTAGGGTTATCTGCCCTTAGTTGTATGAGTGAGTGAGTATGGTTTTACGCTGCTTTTAGCAATATTCCAGCAATATCACGGTGGGAGATACCAGAAATGGGCCTCATACATTGTACCTATGTCGAGAATTGAACCCGGGTCTTCAGCGTGACGAGCGAACGCTTTAACCACTAGGCTACCCGACCGCCCCCTCAGTTGTATGAACATGGCAGGCTTGATCATTCAAGAAGTTTCTGGATGGGACAGTTTCTAGAAGGCAGTATATAAGAGTGAGGACACTTATCTGACCATTTGTATTGACTTTTTGATTGTAAACATAAAACTGTGTGTTTAAATATACTTTACTGATAATTCATTGATCTTGTGTGGTCTTTTACTGATCTCACATTTGTGTGTGAACTGATTTCTGGGTTAACCTCTGCCTTTCAATTTGGAAATCACCTCGTAACAGTATCAGGAACCATTTTGAGTTTACACCATCAGTTGTCATCACACATGCCCAATGGAGTACAACTTTGAAACAACTCTGGCTATGTTAACAACAGATTCTGGTTCAATAACATCACTTCAACTTTGAAGAGAAGGTCCCATGCCTCCAGCTTCTTAAATAACAATGTTATAAGCACTTCTGGTTCAATAACATCACTTCTGGTTAGGGAGTACAAGTTTAAAATGGAATGTCTCAATGCCTCTAGAAAAGAAAGTTACAAGCACTTTGGGTTTTAATGACCATGACCTTTAATGTCAGCCATGTATAAAAAGTTTCATAAATGCTGATCATGCTGATAATTAGAGCAGAGGACTACACAGAAAAGATAGTTAGGGTGGATTCCAATACAAACCTGTGTAAGAGACTGAGTAAAATGATTGCAGTTTTTATTGAGTAAGTGATACTGGTCCCCACGGAACTCCTTCCCCAGCTGTTCTACTAACTTCCTGATTTCATCAGCTGTGAAGTCAGTATATCCTAAAACAATGGATTCCCTGGAAAAGAAAATTGAAAATTTTATTGTAAATTGTATATTTATATACTTATTAAATCTCAAAATATGCATCTCTGCTTTCTTCTTCGATCCTATGTGGAAATGTGCTTGTGGTCACGCATTGTACTCCCACGCAAAGGGACTTATACGACCTAAACACGTGATTAACCCTGCCATATCATTCTGTTTTATCAGAACTAACAGTAGCTGTGATGCAGGGATGGTTGGGAGGGCATATAACAGGTGAGATAGTATATAAAGATACAATTTACAATAAAATCCTATATAAATATACAATTTACAATAAAATCCTATCTCACGCTATGCATTTATCCCATGGTTGAATACAACCATGAGATGTCAACGAGGAAGCTGGTGCTAAACAGTGAATTTAATAACACATCTAAAACACTGCCTGGTGTCTTGAAGGCAACAACTCATGAGCCGGAACAAACACCAAGGCTGGTGATATGATCCTGATATATTAGTCGGATGAAACAGCATGAAATCGGGTATAACATGCGGAACATGTTTTCACGTATGACATCATTACTTGAAGGAGTGCGTATCTGTAAAGAACGATCGAGACAGTGTATGACTTTTAATCAGCGGAAGAGCGGACAGGCACTTTATTAGATTTCTTGGGTTTCTTTATAGCAGACAGTTTCGCCTTGTCAGAATCCCGCGAATTTGATCTCCTGTCAGTTTCACGTCTGTGGCATTTCCGTCTGTGGCATTGTGAAGGATTCCTCCATCATGTAGTCACACTCAGAACATCGCATGGAAAGACTGAATTGTACCCAGCAGTTACACCAAGTCTCATTAGGGTCAGAGGCAGAAAAAAGTTGTACTGCCCTCCTGACAGACAGGGTGAGGAGTACAGTCTTTGCTCATTATCCTAAAATTGTTGTATATTCAGGGTGATATAGAGGAAAACTTGTTAAAAAAAATGCAAATCACTGTATTCTCTAAATATTTACATACACGTCTCCACTGAGTGGCGATGAGAAAGAGAATGATATGGCAGAGTTTATCAGTGTACAGTTAAGTTATTTATAATAGGTTGTGTAGGTCCCTATGTACGGGAGTACAGTGCTTTACCTAATTGTTGTAGTGTGAGATAGGATTAAAAAATATTCAATATCATTAATAAAGCTTGACTAGTGTTGACATTGATCTGAATACAGTGTGGTCAATTGCTACAGGATTTGAAATTAACATAGGGCCACAAGTCAAGTAGAAATCATGAAGGATTTCCTATTATCCCCCGCTTCACTTTGTGGGGGGAGATAATCTAGCATCAGGCACTTATTATGCTTATAAATCAGAAATTCATCTTAACTTCATAGATATACCAGCCCAAAAAATACTTGAGGCAGAAAAGGGTGATTATGAGAGCCAAATGTAAGTAAATTAATATGAGTTTGGTTTGTTTGACGTAATGTGCCACAATCAGCAATATTCAAGCAATATCACAACACTTACAAACATCTGGAAGATATAATCCAGGGATTGATATTTTGAGCAAAGTCCAATCTAATTAAAATCAGATCTTAGTTCTCGCTACCGCTAAACAAAGATCTGAGGACATCCCATTAGGGGTCACGTCAGAACGACCTTTCATCCGACCAATCAGACCGTCGCTTACACATGCTTACCAGATTATGAAAGTGACAGTTTGAATGTGATTTCTGATCATGCAATCTCGAAAACTTAAACACGGGGTTTTCCGAATGATATTTACGGGCTTAACGACTGAATCCATACAATCTAGACCATCTATTAGCCATTCCAGAATGTTCTTTTGTTCAGGTTTCAAATTTTTAATCGAGAATTTGTCAAAATATGTTTCGAAGCGTAGTCGCCAATTTGAAATTAGTGCCGTAAAACACGAGAAAGCTGCCTTCTGATTGGCTAATGTCGACTTCTTGATCTGATTTTAATGAGATTGGAGCAAAGTCCCATACTGTAAGAGTATGATGACATACAATTAACCAAGTCAGTGATCCTCTTACCCACAATCTGAACAGAGTCATGTCACATATACAGAATTCTTGCATCAGGAAATCCTTTAAATGTTTCAGACTGCAGTGGAAATAATTACCATAATTACTAGTATTACCAGTGATTACAGACCCATTTTTACCATGGTTATGAACCTATCAAATCATATCTACGTTTTGACAAATTAAGCAACATAAGCCAGTTTTATCATGTCCAAAATAAATTATACATAGGGCTAAAAAAAATAATAGTCTTTGTGCTCAGGCACCGTCTGCATCATCATATAGCCTGTCGCACGTTTTGTTTTTATTTCTATTTTTTTTTAAATATAAAAAATTTAATACTTAAACACAATGCAGGCAAAAAAATTGAAAATGGAACCAAAAACGAAACATGCAATGAATTTTATGATGATGTGGGCAGTGCCTGAGAACCAAGACTGTTATTTCTTTTAGCTTAGGTTTCTACAAATTTATGAACCCTCTATTCATGTTCACATAGTTAAGCAATATCACGATAACAGTTACTTTGAGGAACAAAAAGGATAAAGTAAGGAGTGTAATAGTCTAATAACAAAATATATATCTCACTTGAACTTGAACTGTTCCCCCAGGTCATCAGCATCCTTTGGAGCGATTTCAAACACACCAGAAAATGGAAACGGATGTCCTCCATATGCATATTCTGAAATAAGGAAATAATATTCAGCACAGCATCAAACGTACTGTTACAAAAACACCACAGTTGCTATGTAAAACAGAACATGTAGAAAGCTGATCTGAATCAGGGATGTAGCAGTCTGATACATCCTGATATGGAAACATGACTCTGAATGGTTTCACTTTCTCTTTCCACAGAAATGTCCCTGAAAGAAGTGTCACTGATGTTAGAAGAAAAGAATATAGTCATACAACAAATAATTTGAGTAAGCATGTGAGTGTTTAACGCCGGTGTGAACATGTTGCACAGTATTTCATTTATATCATGGCATGTCAGTTGAAGCATGGACATTGTTGAAGTTATGCACTTCTTAGGCAATTACCATTTTGGTGAAACTCAAGATCATAGGTATGGTGCACACAAACCAAGAATCAGGATGAATCTGACTTGAACCCATGATCAAAGGTTTCCGGCTTGTTTTAGGAATGCAACTCTGTGCGACTAGGCCACCAATGCCCAACATGAATAAGACAATATCTCAGAACTGGTTCAGATGCCCATGGGACTAGGGGCATTAGTCCCTGAAAACAACTAATGACCCTCTGATTATGGGCAATATTGGTCCCTTGGTCCTATATTTCGTACACCTGGCCCATAAATTTTCTAATCTCATTACCATGATCAAAATCAGATCTCTTACTCCAATAGGATACTTCTCTGCATGAAGATTCCTGCATGAATCCTCTGCATGAGGATACTTCCTCAAGAGGTTCTAAATTCTCAGTACGAGTGAGCGAAGCATAAGGTAAGCATATCTGATTTTAGTATCACAAAATCAAATATACAACTGTAATCTCATTCAAACCAGATCTTGGTTCTCGCTACCGCTTAACAAAGACCACAGGACATCCATATATGTGTCGCATCACAACGACCTTTCACCTCACCAATCAGAGCATCGCTTACCAGAAAAGGGAACTGACAGTGTTTTCTAATCATCCAACCTCACAAAGGTTAACACACGGTATTCCGAACAACTATTACAGGCTGTACACCAAATTCCGTCAAATTCATCGTCTATCTCTCACTTCAGTGGGAGACTTTCCATTGCCAATGGGAAGTACTGCCGTCCAATCTCGGCCATCTATTAGCTAACCAAGAGTTTTATTTTGTTTATTTCTCAAAATATTTTTTAAAGCGTTGTCTGGAATGCAAGTCGTCAGTTTCAAACTAGTGCCGTAAAGCTCGAGAAAGCGGCTCTCTGACTGGCTAATATCATGAATATCAACTGCTTGTTAGTCACTGGTTGGTCAAAGTTTGCGAAAGGTCATTCTGATGTGACCTGTAATGGGATAGTCTCAGATCTTTGTGCAATGGTAGGGGGCACTAAGATATGTATTTATTGAGACTGATATAAGTGGAGAGTTCCGAATGCTGTGGATATATTATACAATGTGTCTTTTGTGAATGCGATTGCATCTGCACCCAAAAGGGCATACAAGGAAGGGTATGCTGGGGTTATGTTGTGTGTTTCATCTGCTAATAACAAAATTTCCGAATTGATTTGTTCAAGAAATGAAGCCAAATCATTTAAGAAAGTGAATTGATTTGATTGTGGCTCAAGAACCCACACACCCTTCATTTAGATTGGGAGGTCAAAGTTCATGGAACCTTCAATGGAGGTGTTGCAGATCTTGATGCAGAGAGGAATCATATCGGATTAAAAGATCTCATTTTAATGAGATTAACAATTTTACAAGGAAATTGTACACCGGATTCTAAATCTTCAAATTTATTTAAAATCTCCAAATATATCAATATGTTCTATGTGCCATGGTAATGCTCAAATCCACATCTCACAACTAACTACATGGTTACTTGGTGCACTAGAACACTTTATATCTAAATACATCTCTGTCTGTACATTTGTTTAACACTGCAATCAGCAATAGTTCCAGCTTTATCACTGCTGCCTGTAGACAATCTAGTCTGGACCAGTGGTTGGGGTGAGGGCATGATCAACTTCCATTCGCTATGGTACAATGACACAAGTCACAGAGCCTGACCATGCAATCCCCATTTTAGTCAGCTCTTACTACTCTGTACAAGCATAAGTTCCCTGAGACTTGGAATCAGCACAGAGTGAATCACCTCCTGAATATTCTCACCTGTCCCATATACCTCTATGCCTGAATGGAAGACGCCGATGCCTAGTGATGATGTGTACTCATTGATCCAGTACTGCAAATGAAATTGAAAGGAACTGAAATTAGTAAACCACATGCTGGTAGGGTTAATAGACATTAGGGCTGGGACTGGTAACTCGGGTGCCCGGGTCGGGTGGGTACTGAGTAGGACCCGGGTACCCACATGACTACCCGGACCCGTGGTTAGTCACGTGATATATTGTTTAATGACAAAAATTATCTAGAACTCTATGGCTACACTTCAAGTCACTAATGTTCGCATTTCTTTCTGACTTTGCACCCATTCCTTCTGATTTTTCATATGGTTGAATGAAGATATAACTTAATTCAACGTCAGTATATGAATGACCAGATTGTTTAATACGTGTATCTAAATCATTTTGCCAGGGCTAGGCTAAATATGTTCCCAATCGGACATTTTGAGACATCTCCTGAGACCTAGGGTGGGTACCCGGGTAGGGTCGGGTAATAGGGGGGTGGGTACCCGGGTAGAAAATTTGGACTCGTCCCAGCCCTAATAGACATAACGCTGCAGTCAGCAATATTCAAGTTGTATCACGCACCCACTATTGCAACAGCCATTAAATAATGAGGCCCAGGCCGGACAAACCCAGGGATAAAAACTAACTGTTAAAGTCTACTAGTTCTTATAACATATAGCAAAACCCTTAAAAATGGCAAATTTCTTCTACTCCTTTGATACCTTAACTATTAGTGCAAGGACTATAGAACTAGTGCCAATTTCTAATATTGCAAACAAGTTGTTGATATTATGTGCAAATAGTTACTCGATAAATCGCAGAGAACAATGAAGACTGAAGGGTGGTTTAGTTCACGATAAAACACTGTTCTATCATGACGTCATTTCTGGTGATTCGAACAAGTGCTCAGAACGTGATGACGTTGGAAATAGGACAACGTTATTTTTGAGAGGGAAAGTGTAAAGTGAAGTGTTCCCCATAGATGTAGCTGAACAACATAGATAAATGCAATGGCCGAACGATCGCTTCCAAAATTGAGAGAGATATGACAATCGGTATTGGGAGAAAGGTTTCAGATAATCAACGTGAAAATTGTGAAGAACTGTTCATAAAATGGACTTTTCCGACATTGAAACAGTCAGATACTATTCAGGGAGTTATCATTATTTAAATAGGGGTAAATATATTTAAAGCTTGTACTTTTCACTAACATCCTTAACATTGCTTAAAGGGTCTGTACATAATGTTGATATCTCATGTATGCAATAAACGACGAGTGGGAGTTGTTTATCATACAATAAAACACTGAAGGGAGAATAAACAATGAACGATAAACAACTCCCACTCGTCATTTATTTCTTAAATAACATTAGCCATGTTAACATTTTATGACCATTTATGTATTTCTAAAACCTTATTTCCTGTTTTGAACAAGAATCTGTTGTAGAAATTAACATGAAAAGCTAATCAAGCTAATGACTGAGAAATAATAACATTTAAGAAAACAATTAAACACTGACTGAAAGTCCATTTGATACCTTTAACAAATCATCAATACTTCTTGGTTTTGAGTACACTATGTTCCTCCATCAACATGAACACATATGCTACAATGCTGGTTTCAAGTTCACCACAAGAAATAGACGCTATGAACATGTGTCTATAGCCAGCTTTACCTTTTTAACCTGCTCTGAAATATTTGTAGCAAAGAAGTTTTCACACGATTTGACGTAAATATGCGTATAGCGATATGTATCTTATCATATGTATCGTGATATGTATTGTATCCTGACCTTTCTGTATCATTTCACCCTTAGAACTTGGTGCCAACCGTACCATTGCCTGTCTTTAAAGCAATGTGTAGAGCTGACAGTCAGAAGGTTATGACAAATGCTTCACACTTCAACCATGTGTCAAGTGAAACACATTGCTAGTTGGGGCCATACTAGCTGAATGCACATTGGTCCTAGCTCCTTATGGCTTCCCTCTCACTTGAACCAGGCCCATCTTAAAACGCTTGTTAGAAATCGTGACTTCACCACGCCTTATGTATTCAAGGGTGACTGAGGAATATAGTGCACACCATCCCCTGGAGCATTAACATGATTCATAAATTTGAACATTTGGTAAACATGTTTAGACCAGCTGGCTTATTAACATGGACCATTGCTGATAATCTCATCCATACTGTGAAACAGACTGTTTGGGGGAATAAATCAAGGTTACGAAAGTCATGTATGAAAGTACCTACCACACCCAATCAACATGATCAATGGGGCAGGATTAAGAAATAATCCTCTTGGTAAATTGATTCACAATTTATCAGGAATTCTGTTCAATGATTTTAAATAAAAGCACAATTAGACAAGCAATCAAGTTGTACTTCAACTACAACTTGTAGTTGTAGGTATGTGTGTGCTTAGGTATTCTGATTTTGGCTAGGGTACATTTCTGTATACATGAACGTACCTGGTATACATATCTGTAGTACCCATGCCGACAATGACCCCTTCAGCCATATTAAAGGTGGCAGTTCATATAATAAAATTTGGGGTCATTTTCTCTACAATCTTATAAAACTTATAGAACCTATGTATGCATATACAATATAAGGTAACTTATATACATGTATCAGGATATGTATGCGAAAACATGATTGCTCCCCTCACCATTGCTTTCATGTCGAATTGCAATGCTTCTATGAATGAATGTAATTCCATGAAATATGAGGTTTCAAATGGGAGAATTTATGTAACATATATATTCTGAAATGAACACATCTATTCATGCAGAAATATTTCATTACAGAGAAATAATACTTACCATATCATACACATTCACAACAACTGGCTCTTGCGCCATAGCAGTACACACAACTGTTGGTTGGAAAGCCAGTTAGACGCTTTTGCATTTAATCAATTGGAAGAAACGTGTGGTAAGGTCACACACAAAGCCTAGGTGTGTACATAAACTGCAAAAGTTCATGCACATACAGTTGGACAAATGGTCCCGGCCAAGTGAGGTCACACCAATGAAGCTGGAGATGATCTGTCAAAACCAGACGGCACCTCCGATATCCTTTCCCAGTTTCAATCAGCTGATTGGGTTATCAGCATAACTATATCCTTCTTGACAATAATATACCCTAAAAATGATACATATCTGTCAAAACGTCAAAAATAAGAGTGACATGGATGAGTAATATTGGTGAACAATAAAAAAGGGAGAAATGTTCTACTGTGGGAGTTGTACAGGAAAGTGTATTACGTCATTTCCAGCAACTGAGTAATCATACTATTTTCCCAACAACTATTTCCAAAGTCGTAGATTAATGTTCAATAAATATGCCTTGTGTTTTACAATCTATTTAAATTATATTTGAGAAAATCGAGTAAGCATGTAAATAAATAGTTATGTTTGTACAATATTCACACCATGACTACAACCAACACGCTTTCCAAAAGCTTTTACGGATTATGATTTATTTCAACGAGAATACTTTCGTGCACCTATGTGATGACGTATTTCACATCCACCGTCAGTCATGGCATTTTCCAGATCACTGCGAATATTGCCATTTCTAAAGAATATCAACAGGGAACAACTGTTTTCTGTTGCACGGACCTTTCATACACAAAGCGTATGTTCTATGTCGTTTAGTGATTAAGCATAGATATTCCGATGACACTGCATCTATGCAAATGCACCCTCGTTCTTGAATGTCAATACGAAAATTCTGCCTCTTTGGGGCCCAAGTTGGTCAGTACAAGCAACTTGCCAGAGGGAAAGTCTTCCGCCCGTACCCCCCTCTAAAAGTTATATATGTATGCATTATCGCTCAATGCTATTGTGACTTGTCCCAACAGGGTGAACAATGCAGTTTACCGGGCACAGCTTCGCCCTCTACCAAAAGCTCAGTTACGGTGCTATAACCGCTACCGTGGTGACGCTTGAATGCACTCGTCTCCGGAGCGGACACACCTTTCTTATCCAACAACCCCTTTCGATCACTAGGGTTAGTCTGTTAAGGGCTAGGTATAGCATAAATTCTAACCTTTTTACAGTCATTCCGATAATCCAATAAGGGTAATAGTATGAGAGTATAGTCCGTTTTAGTATGTTTCATCACTTGATTAGTTACTCATTTTGATGGACAGTAGCAGGCATGGCTTCCTCAAAATGGTGAATGGAGACGGTGTGATGTCAGTAACATGCATGCATGCGCAATTCATTGTTTACTTATCTGCGCATGTGTGTTAATGAGGTGCAAATGACCCGTTTAACAAGCATTAATTACATGTGATGGCGTTCTTGGTCCAGTGGTAGAGCATCAGCTAATTAATGCACTAATTACCCGAGCCGGTAAGACAGTGAAGCATGTTCGAGCCCCCACACTAAATGGATCAGAATAAGTGCTTCCGGTAAAGTGTACCACTCCCCAGTGGGGAATCCGAAACAGAAACCTAATTACCGTATCTCAGTCCAAGATCTTTTAGGTGTAGATTAGAATTTCATGGTTAAAATGTGTGGCATGGCAAATAGATCATGGTGCCTATGCTGTAAGACAATAATTTATCTTTGCATACCCTATTTTTGAATTAAGACATTTGTGTTCATACCAGTGGATGATGTCTTCATTAATAGAATTCAGCTATGTCCTGACACAAATATGATTCTCGATGAAAGTTGTAACCTCTATTGCGTCTGTAAACTTCCATGGTACTCGAGCGATGTCACCTGTTTTCGTTTGGTTCAGTACTTCAGCATGGTTTCCATGAATAAACAGCTGTGTATGGTGCACCAGTTCTCAACATAATTCTTGCAGGCAGCAAAACTCCAAAATTGATTGAAAGTTTGAGACACATATTCACAAAATATGAATTCTTGTGAAATTACAGTGTTCACACATAACATGGGCACCAAATTCTAAATTATAATTGACTGTTCTGACAGGTGTACAGTACTTCACATGAACCCAATGTTGACAGTCCATATGTGTACACTGTCAAATCAGCTTCAATGATTGTCACACCTCTCGTTATAACACAACAAATCATGATCAATGTCTTTTCAAAAACAGGGTATATTTTAATTCTCTCTCACTACATTTTTAAAATTATTGCAGAAAATAAGAATATTGGTAATATACAGAATAACCTACTCAAAATTACAGATTATCTGTTCTTCATGAACTTCTTTTGTAAGTTCCTCGTCAAGCTGGGGAATTACAAAATTAATTCACTTGGTGACAGAAAATAACATTGGCATATACTATTCCTCATTTTCAGATCACCTCACTGGAAATTTGTTGTGACTTTCATTAAACTGTTCTGACATATCCATGTTATCTCTAAGAGTTGTCAAAGGTAAATGACTTGCAGAATGTGAAAGGATTTTTTAACCTTGACATGACCTGTTGCAGGTTCTGTCATCTCAGAATATTACATTTGAAGAGAAACCCGAGTTTCCTGGTTCCAAGTCCCACTATGTCCATAAACTGGAGTACATACAGCCTGAGTTGCTGGAGGGTATTCCTGTCTACAGAGTCATGGGAAGAGATGGGAAGATTGTGGATGAAACACAAGATCCAAAGGTAGGTTACCTTGGTTACAGTTTCAGATGAATGCTTCAGAAACTTTCATTCATTTCACTGAATATTGTTGAAAGTTTTATTGTTTAGAGTGTTTAAATCAGTGATGTGTACTTTTCTGGATATTTAAGTGTTTTTGTTAACAGTTCCAAGCTTGAAAAGACATGCTATTGGGCTTGGTGCAGGGATGCCACATTAATTATATGTTCAGAGATTCAGTTGATCAGTATTCATCAGAAAATTTCCACATGTTCAAGTTAGTAGTTGTTCTCCCTATTCTGTCAACCAGCTAAGAAGAATGTTCAACTATTTAAAAGGTTAATGTATTCTATACCATGTATACACAAAATCAAACATGAGTACACAATAACACACTCATCATTAATATGCAACCAATTTATGTTTGTGAATTTAGATGTTCAAAATTCCAAATCATAATTATCATAGTAAACATGATTACGGCATGTAAATGACAACGAGCATCTGAAAAATACACAAAATAATTGTGACTGATCGTAATTGATTCATAAGTATAAACTAGTTTAAACAATCAAGTTTGAACCCTATGTGATCTCTGTATGTCTGTGGGCACAGGTGGCACAGTCGTCAAAGGTGCCACAATTCGCTGTGCAAATTTGCATCCCTTGGGCATGTCAGAAACCTGCGATTGTGGGTTCGAATCCCTGTTTTCCCAATTATGTTTCAAGGTTTGTCAGCACCATACCTGTGCTCGTGGGTTCCACCAAAATGGTAAACATCCGAGACCTGCATCATTTAAGGCTTTCCTTTCACTTTAATCTGACACTTTGTGATCATAGTGATATAGCTTGAAAACTGTTCAAAGCGGTGTGAAAATTCACTCACTCACTCACTCTACATGACAGCCTGTGTGATATGTTGCAGCTGGACAAAGACACTGTGATAAAGATGTACAAGGACATGACTCTTCTCAACACCATGGACCGTGTACTGTATGAGTCTCAAAGACAGGGCCGAATCTCCTTCTACATGACAAACTATGGCGAGGAAGGAACTCACATAGGATCAGCCGCTGCTCTCGACCCCAGAGATCTTGTGTTTGGTCAATACAGAGAGGCAGGCAAGTTGCTTTCTGTTGAATCAGGATTTTAATGCAAGGATTGTCCCTCAACTGTGTTCAGTTGCACTTGCAGTCTCAACAAAGTCTGATCTTTTAGTAAAAGTTTTACTGATACGATACCTCTCAGTGTCAAGATATAACGACACTTCCATAGAAGGTTGCGTCAGGTGAACCCTGAGAAAACTTTGACTGCCCTATCTAAATGAAGGTTGTGGGGGTCCAATCGGATGTCACCTGTCTAAAACAATTTGGGTTCATTTCTTTACCACCTCGATTCAGAAATTGTATACATAAATATGCCTTCCATCATGTTCCTATTTGGCTGTAGATTCCCTGTTGCTCAGAAACAACAGGGTGCATGACACATCCACAACAATTATGCCGCAACTTCAGTTTTTGGCAGTTGAAAGTTCCTGGTCATATTCATTTTTCGGGATACGGAAATCAGATATGATGGTCTGAATGCTTCTTTTGATGCTGATTAGCTGATAATCAAGTTTAATCAAGTGACCTCCTAAATATCTAAATATGTTTTGCCACGGCTATGGTAAAAAGCCCCACTAACATCCTGTGCTGCATATGCCATGAATGGGAGAAATATTGAAATATGAGACTGTAGTAGGGGGAAAATCTATAACTAGGTTTCAAATCAATAAAGGTGATCTTCTCTCAGTCTCAAAATGCTAAATAAGCATGTCTTGTATTTTGCTATTTGTGTGTGTGTGTTTGTCAACAGGTGTGCTGATGTGGCGGGGTTTCACCCTGGACCAATTCATGAACCAGTGCTATGGCAATGCAGGTGATGTGGGGAAGGGGAGACAGATGCCAGTTCACTACGGCTCTCGGGACCTCAACTTCATCACCATCTCATCACCTCTAGCCACCCAGATGCCTCAAGGTCAGCAGTCAAAATGAAGATAATCAAAAAACATTATTATCATCTCCATATGAATTTTAATATGCAAGATTTGGTTAGTTTTCCAATTCGAAATGGGGGTACGGGAGGTCCAGTTGTATACGTAGTCACAATTTGCTGTGCATCTTTGCCTTTCATGAAACCATGATTGTGGGTTTGAATCCCAGTGTCACCCTGGTGTTGTTTCTAGGTTTGTCAGCACCGTACCTCTGCTTGTGGGTTTCACCAAAGTGGTAAAGGTCCAAAAACTGCATCACGTCAGGCTTTAGTCCCACATCTAGCTGACACACTGTGATATGACTGAACACTTCAAAATGGAGTGATCCATACTCCCCCATTCCCATAACAACATGGAATGATTGATCAGATAGATTTTGAAAAGTCAAACGGTTATGTCTGTAATTTCAAATTGATGAACACTGTATATGTGTGTAATAAATAACAAGGATTGAAAGTACCTTCCATGTTGTTATTAGATCAGTATTGTTTAAAACAGTAATTGAATCATCTTCGTGCTATGATATTCGTAAGTCTTACCCAAAGACGTTAAAAGATGGTACTTGTTGTTACCCTGCCTGGCACATGTCATTAAGGGGCAACAAGGACTGATCGGCTCAGAATCATATACTGTGTCTGAGTGGGGTATATTCATGTTAAACTGCAGCATGGTATCTCATCAGGCTAGCACTATAAAATCGACATTAGTCCAGACTAGTACAAGAAGCCACTCACACACAATCACAAACGTGCATGCATGTCGCCATATGAGTGCAATGATCTTGGATGCAATGTTAAACCCCATTTCACCTCACCTCATGGCAAGACACAACTATTCACAGTATATAGCCGGATGTGGTGTTAAACACTAAACATACATCCCTTCCTCCTTACAGCGGCAGGGGCTGCCTACGCCTTCAAGCTGAAGAAGAATGACCTGTGTGTGATGTGCTACTTCGGGGAGGGGGCAGCGTCCGAGGGGGATGCTCACGCTGCATTCAACTTTGCTGCTGTGCTAGACTGTCCCATCATCTTCTTCTGGTGGGTCTTCCTGATAACATCAAGCTTACTCAATCAATGGGGCATTTCGACAGCAGCCTATGCCGGTCATGTGAGGCAACTTGGTTTGGATTGGCTTGATGACTTGAATGATTGCGTGTTATGTCACCCCAATGATGTGGATCATTGCTTGTAATATCTGTTACTGGTTACTTTTTCTGGTCCAGACAGGCTGCTTTCATATACGTATCGCTGGAATATTTATGAGTCAAGCATTTAACAACAAGAACCATAATTATGTTACAAGAGAACCGTGCATATATGAGTCAACTATGGATCAGGTGGTTTAAATTTTTTCTCTGTTTAGTTATGCACCAACTAAATGGATGCTCATGCTAACAACCACTGTTTTGCCTGACCCTGCTGTGATATAACTGGAATATTGCTGACCGACAAAGAACAACTATTTTTTACTCTCTGATATTTTGGAAGTCTAGAAATGTGAAAGTACTTAAACATGTAAAATAGATTATACATGTAAAAGACAAGTATCCTTGTAAGTCATTCCACTGATCATAATGAAGGCATGATACTGCTGCATCAGCAAATATTTTTTCTGGGATATTAAAATGTTATTGGTAAGGATTAAGACCATGGATATAGAGATTACAAAACGAGTGTCTGTCACATATCGTTTGTCTTACAATGAGATGTTACGAAAGGTATCTAAACGAGTGAAAGCGAGTGTTAACAGTTAAATCAGTGTTAACACTCTAAAACCATAAAGTTTAAACACAGACGTAGGTGAATTCAACCGAAGCATGAATAAATTATCAATGAATTACAATCAGGAAAGTAGTCTGTCATTATTTGACCTTAGTACATCACCATGGAGTAGCCAATCACGGACCTGGAATTCAAGGTCACACATGTTTGATACCAGTTATCTCAAATGTGTTTCTCACTCACAGGTATATAAGAATAGGACGTCCCAACTTTTCAGTTCTATATTTCCAAACATGTTTTTCTGTAATATTTTCTTTGTAGTTTCTTCGTTATTTAATCCTCTTCTCTTGTTTCAGCCGAAACAATGGTTATGCCATATCTACACCTACAAAGGATCAGTACAAAGGAGATGGTATTGGTATGTGTTACCTTAGAAGCAAATATACTGAGTATACAACTGTTGTAGGTGTCATGTTATATGTGTTTTAGGTCACAGTAGCCATGTTATGTGTTGTACGACTGTTTCTGTGTAAAAACATACTCACTCTCTCTCATATTGAAGCAATTTTGGGGGAAGATGACTACAAGGCTATGGTACATGTTATTGCCGATGTTATTGAGCATTCTTTGGTCAGCGTACATGCTGGTTTTCTCTCACTGGAACCAGACCTTGACTTGAATAGTTGGTCATGTATTCATGGGTGATGACTTGAATAGTTGGTCATGTATTCATGGGTGATGGCTTGAATAGTTGGTCATGTATTCATGGGTGATGGCTTGAATAGTTGGTCATGTATTCTTGGGTGATGGCTTGAATAGTTGGTCATGTATTCATGGGTAATTGCTTGAATAGTTGGTCATGTTTTCATGGGTGATGACTTGAATAGTTGGTCATGTATTCATGGGTGATGGCTTGAATAGTTGGTCATGTATTCATGGGTGATGGCTTGAATAGTTGGTCATGTATTCTTGGGTGATGGCTTGAATAGTTGGTCATGTATTCATGGGTGATGGCTTGAATAGTTGGTCATGTATTCATGGGTGATGGCTTGAATAGTTGGTCATGTATTCATGGGTGATGACTTGAATAGTTGGTCATGTATTCATGGGTGATGCCTTGAATAGTTGGTCATGTATTCATGGGTGATGGAGACCTGTGAAGATCCGGGTTAGAATAGGTCTTCAGCAACCCATGCTTGCCCTAAAAGGCTACTATGCTTGTCGTAAGAGGCGACTAACAAGATCGGGTGGTCAGGCTCCCTGACTTGGTTGATGCATGTCATTGTATCCCAATTGCATGGATTGATGTTCATGATATCAGTCACTGGGTGATGAAGGAAGGGAATACATGGTGTTATTGGGCACTGTGTGAATAGAATGAAGAATGTAACTTTTTCCATATCAGCTTCCCGGGGAGCAGGGTACGGCATGCTGACAGTTCGCGTGGATGGCAATGATGCCTTTGCTGTGTACAATGCCACAAAGACAGCACGGGAAATGGCCATCAGTCAAAGCAGACCTGTCCTCATCGAGGCGATGACATACAGGTATGCACATTTCTTATCCCCCCGTCAGCCATCCATTTTCCGTTTCCGGAGCAAAACTCTGAAACTGTTACCGTATATGACCGCGTATAAGCCGAATTTTGAGGACCAGAAAAAAGATTCTGTAGAAAGGGGTCGGCTTATCCACGGGATACACTTTCATGATAGTATTTTTCAGATCGTGATCTGTCAAAAACATCGCCTGAATGACGGTCCGTTAGATCACAACTTTCCGAAAGTTTGGAAGTTGCCACGACTAGAGCCATTATTGTTATAAATTATCAATAAAGTTATTATTATACACCAATGTTGTCATTATTAAAAAAATGTTATGCATGTTACTACTTCCGATAATAAGTTTTCAATTGAATGTTCAAAGTTTATAGTATATATATTTTTTGTTGAGACTTTCTGTATAGATCAGTCTGGTGGGGAACTGGTGCATTTTGATGATTTGGGAATTTTATTCTTTATATTTTGTATTTTCATGATTTTCCATGATGTAAACAAGTAGTTTTCTATTTCTGGAGCAGAACTCCCAAACCGTTAAATATTTCTTGTTGAAACTTGATATATAGATCAACTGCTATAAAGTCGTGAACTGGTGCCTTTTGATGATTTGAGATTATTATTTTTTAAATTTCATGACGACAAGTTGGACTTTAAAATTAGTGTAGTGCTTATTTCTGGAGCACAACTCTAAAATCGTTGAATGTTTCTTGGTGAAACTTGCTATACCAATCAGCTGGTATCACAGCTGTTGCCAGGTTGTGTTATATCATAAGTCACATGCACAAAACTTGTTCCTATATGGATTCCCACAAATGGTGGCTCTAACACAGGACGGTTCACCACGCCTTGTATTTGCCACTAAAAAAGTAGTTTTGTGTTTGCAAAATCTTAAAAAAATATAAACAAAAGTAACAAAAATTATTTAGGGGCACAAATTCTGTATCATACATATAGATATGATTATATACAAAATCCACTTTAACAAAAAAAATATACTTGAAAACTACCAAACCACTGTTGTAAGCGAAAGAATACATGCTGGACAAGTAACAAAAATGGCACTTTGCAAAACGAACACTCTCGATTGACGAGTTTACAGTGTATAACAAAACATTTTCAAGAGAAGCCATATTAACTCCATAAATGGCCCTCTGTCATTATTTTGCCTTGTCAAGGTGGAACTAACGTAAAAAGGAAGTCAACAGTTTGTGTATGGGCTAGACACTTACGATAGAGGGAGACAATTTGAGGGGAGGTCTGTCTTGTATGACAATAGTTCTGTCAAAGTGTTATTTTCACAGCAGTGAAATATCAATTGTTATGATTCACTGCAATGAAAATATCACTTTTCTCAACTTCGGAAAACACTGTCTTTTACACTTAAGTATATAATAAATTGAATTCTGAATGCTGAAAATCAATATGTGTTGTCCAGAATTGGCCATCACAGTACCTCCGATGACAGTTCAGCGTACCGGTCAGTGGACGAGGTAAGCTACTGGGACAAGCAGGACAATCCAATCTCGCGACTACGCAACTACATGGTGAGCCAGGGCTACTGGAACGACGACATCGAAAAGGAGTGGAAGCTAGAGTCTAGGAAGAAGGTAGAGTGTTAGCTGTTAGCTGTTGCATGTAACAAAGTTGGCTACATCAGAGGAATTTATGGGGGTTCGCTGAGGATCTGCAGATGAAGTAATTAAGAAACACATCTAAAGTAATGGTAGGAAAGTTGACTGTCACATGTTATGAAATTTTTAGGGCAAGACATTACAGTGACGTCTTAATGAAGGGAGATCCACATCTGCAATTTCAGGGAAGTCAATTATCACCTGGTCACATAGACTAACATTTAGTCTCTGAAATCTTATATTACACAATATCCTTCTTGACTCTAAAAAGAAAAAAAATTCCCTATGCTGATTTCATATAGAGCTAGCTAGAGCTCGCTCGACTTGCTTTTGTATGCGTTTCTAGATTTTATTTTTTTTCATAAAATAAATATATTCCACAGTCATGGTGCAGGACTACTGGTCACAGTCACAGCTCGGATAGCATTTGGTAGCCTAATTGGTGTTTTATTAATGTTTTATTCTTATTGTCAGGTACATTTGTATATGGTATACATATGTCACATTATTGTTCTCACATGAACTTACAAATACAGGGTTCACATACAGGGTACAGATATACATATTACACTTTATATGTCACGTGTATTTTGTACATTGTAATACCGGTAACCAATAGTGAGTGAGTGAGTGAGTGAATATGGTTTTACGCCGCTTTTAGCAATATTCCAGCAATATCACGGTGGGGGACACCAGAAATGGGCTTCACACATTGTACCCATGTCGGGAATCGAACCCGGGTCTTCGGCGTGACAAGCGAACGCTTAAACCACTAGGCTACCCAACCGCCCCAAATAGATCAGGTGGGTCAGGCTGTGTGACTTGGTTAATGGTGTGCCATCATACCCCCATGGCGTTGATCATTGTTCACAATATAATTGTCTGGTCCAGATGTGATTATTTACAGGCTGCCATCATACAGCTGGAATATTGCGAATAGTGCGACGTTAAACAACAAACAGGCTGTGTATTTGTCAATCTCATATGTATTTCTCCGTTCTGTTGAGATGTGGTTTGATCTGTGGTTCTTTGGATGGTTACAACCTGCTACCTGGCCATTGTGACCCACAAGTGTTGATCATAGTTCATGACCCAGACCCTGTTTATTACAGGCCTTCACATGTTGCTGGAATATTGCGTGTGATGTAGTCATTCATTCACTCACCCAATATGTCTGTTTGGTGTTAGGCTTAAAAGAATAAAAGAATTGGTCCTCCCTACATGAACAAGCATACAAACTCCTATGACCACCATGACCATAACACAAGATGCGCAGTAAAGCGGCATGCATTTAAAGGGAAGTAACTGCATGCTATATTGGATAGCATTGTTTTTAAGTATACTGAGTCAAATTAAAAACTTCACATTTTTAAAAGTAATCCCATCTATGATATACAACGGACAAATGTATCAGAGAAGGTAATTTTTAATCATTAATGTCCAAAGAAGGATTTTGATTAACGGTGGTAACCATAATTTGTTCCAAGCACCTATGGTATTTGGTAATAACATCAACAGTTTAAATCATAAGTACCAAGCTCGAGAATCTGATGGCACACAAGTTCAGTAGCGTGTATGGCCACCATGTGCGTTGACAACTGCCACACAACGCCTCCGCATGAACCTTGTGATGCTTGTGAGCACATGATTGGGAAGACGACGCCATTGTTGCTGCAAAATGGTGCCAAGATCTTGCAAATTCTGTGGTTGGTTCTGGAGAGTGCGCAGACTTCTGCCAAGAGCATCCCAGACGGGTGCGATGGGATTGAGGTCGGGAGACCTTGATGGCCAGTCCATGACGTTGACTCCCGCATTCTGAAGGAAATTCCTTGTCAAAATCGCTGTGTGGGGTCTGGCATTGTCGTGTTGGAAGATCAAACCGGGTCCATGTGCTTCCATAAAAGGCAGAAGTTCTGGTGCCAGTACCTGGTCGCGGTAAGCAGCAGCGTTGAGGTTGCCACGTATGACAAGAAGCCTGGAACGGGCATTGCCACAGAAAGCACCCCACACCATGACACTTCCGCCTCTAAATCTGTCAACTTCCTGTACACAACACTGGGCGTAACGTTCATGATGGCGCCACCACACCCTCGCCCTACCATCAGCAAATCAAAGATTAAATCGGGATTCATCAATGAAGACGACTTGATTCCAATTCCATCGTAAGTGTCGCTGTGCCCACAATTGACGTTGACGTCTGTGTAATTGAGTCAGAATCGGCCGGCAGTATGGCCGTCGTGCTTAAAGGTGAGCAGTTCACAGACGGTTTCGAACAGTTTGGGCACTCAGTCTACCCCTAAACAGTTCATTTCTGGTTGATGTAGCCGTTAAAAATCAGTTACGGAGGTGACGTAAGACAATCTGACGATCCTCTGCATGTGACGTCACACGTGGTCGACCTGGCCGAGGGCGATCAGTGGTTGTACCCGTTTGCTGTAGACGCGTCTGTAAATCATAAACAGTCTGTCGACTACAACCCATCGTCCTTGCGACTTCAGCTACGGACGTTCCCGTCTGCAACATGCCGATGGCACGTTCACGTTGCTCATTTGAAAGGCGTGGCATGACAAATGGGCGTAAAGACTTTTGTTTTCTTGTGTTTTTCTTTTTTTTGTTAATGACTGCTAACAAGTATGGCTGAAAACGTGCGGTATTATGGCCGGGTGACCAGCTGCACGTGAAAAAACACTTTTGCCACTATAGTTCTTTGCACATGATTTTGATTGATTCACCTGCACAAAAACGAGTGTTATCTGAAGACAATACGTGGCCAACACAGTAAGGGCCCACAATGATAACTGGTCAAAATGTTAGAAATTTAGGATTGTGAAGTTTTTAATTTGGTTCAGAATATTAGAATTTTGTTTGATTTTTTTTTTTTTTAAATGGAAATAAAAACGAAACGTGCAGTGGACTTTATGATTATGCGGGTGGTGCCTGAGAACCAAGACTATTATTTTTTTTAGTCTTTTGTTAAGTGATTTTTCAATAGAACCTGTTTTTTTGTGTTTTAGGTGATGAATTCATTTGCAGCAGCAGAAAACCGCAAGAAGCCTAACCCAGAGGAACTGTTTCATGACGTGTACGAGGAAATGGTGCCACACATACGGCGCCAGATGCAGGAGATGAAACATCACGTTCTTCAATACAAGGAACACTACCCGCTGGAACACCACGAGAAGATGTCCTAACTCACACACAGAATCTCCCCGCTTCAAGCACTTTTTTTCAGTCCGTCTCAGGTTCAAGTTCCAAGCAGATATTTATCGATTCGATTCAATCAAATCCTTTTGTTTAATTGTCTAGGTTTTGTTCCTCAATGTTCCACAAAATATTAATCGCAGAAGAATGGTGCTTAACAAAATTTGCCACGCAGACAAAATATTTTTATTTGCATTGTGTTTTTTGGTTTTCTTGGATTTTTTTGGTAATTGAAGTATATAATAGTTGATAAATGTAATATGTGTTCCATGTGATTCCAGTTTTCAAACATTTATGTAGGCCAAGAACTATGTCAATGTGTTTATTGTTTGTCTGAAATTAGGCACAAATTTGAATGAGATGGCAATCTTGAGTATTAAACAGTCAGTTGCCATATAAACATGCCTGTTCATTTTTCTCGTATTTAGACACTTTAAGACAATCATCCTGTTCCAACAGAGCAATAGGAATTGACTTGTGTTAGTGTTCACTGATGTACCTTGATTTAATGTAAACTCGGCAAAGGTAAAGATCTGAAGGTTACATATCTGTAGATACTGTAAATTGTGTATATACAGGCTTGATAACATGTTACAGAAAGTGAAACATTCACTTACATTCAGGAGGGGTACAGTTCCTTACGTGGTTGTTTGGGTTGCAAATTTACTTATTGAGCTTCTATAATGGCTTCAGATTCTGATACTGAATTATTATTATTAGTTTTAAAGAACAAATATTCCACATGAATAAAATACTCACCACAAATTTGTCTTTTTCGTCACCAGGATTTTATGATAAGCCATGATAGTTCCAAGTCAAAATCCTGTATAATTTAGAAACCAACATTATTCACTTCTGATCGTTCAGGGTTGTATGCTTTATCATTGTTGGCAGCTAACGTATTCTTTTGTTCCTTGTTCTCACCTGTTCTGAAAATAGCTACTCGTGAACACTGATCATGTGGTAGAATTAGAAGACACACGATTGTCAGATATATTGACAAATGGTTCCTGTAACTGTCGCTGATATCTTGAGTATTAGAGAGTGTAATATGTCACATGTTTAGTTCTTTGACAGAACAGACTGACGATGAAAATGTTATGTTTGAGAGAGTGATTGTTCAATGTATATAGTGTGTAGTGTGGAAAGGAGTATCTAACTTTATTGTGGATGGATATGAATAAATATTGGATAAACTCATTTCTTTTGATCTTTTATTATTGATGCTTATTAAACTGATGTTTGTTAAGATGACAGTAGTGTTTTACCGCTGACGTTCTCTTGATCACATTTTCTCTGCAATCATTCTTAACCTGTTATTGAATGCTGCAAATCAACTAAACACCAGTCCAAAAGACTATTCTTCCTCCAAAACTTACTTCGGAAGATCTTTTCACACAGAAAAATATATTCATACTTAAGAAACATGTAACAGAGGTAACTACAAAACCATTGTGATTCCAGGATTAACACCCAGTAAACTGACTTGGTTGATAGCATGTGGCGAGGTCAAATCGGGTTTTACCTCATGTCCAAGATTATTGCACTTACAAAGCAACGTGTGTGTGGCTGCTTGTACTAGTCCGAACTGATGCTGATTTATACTGCTAGCCCACTGAGATACCAGATAGGGCACGGGTGGCCCAGTCGTCTAAGGCGCCGCAATTTGCTGTGCAGAGTTGCGTCCCTTTGGCATGCCAGAACCCTATGATTGTGGGTTCGAATCCCGGTTTGCCCCGATTATGTTTCTAGGTTTGTCAGCACCATACCCGTGCTCGTGGGTTTCACCAAAAGTGGTAAACGTCTTGAGACCTGCATCACTTCGGGCTTTCCTCCCACATTTAGCTGACACAACGTGATATAACTGGAATACTGTTAAAAGCCGCGTTAAGCCCAAACTCACTCACTCACACTCGTTGTATATTTTGGTAGACTTGTACACAAATGTTGGATAACCTGTACCCACCCTACATAATCAACTGGATGACTCGTACTCAAAAGAAGCGTATCCGTACACAATGAAAATATATATGTGGCTTCTATTGCAAAAGCTCGTTTATAAAGCAAAATACATCGTAATTTCTATGTTTTTTAATTATCGATGCCATATTAAACTGCTAATCATCAAGTACAAGAATACATATTTTATCTATACTTTGCTTCATTTTGACTCATTGTTAAGAAGGTAAGAGCAGATACGAGGTTTAGCAGTAGAAGCGACCATATGATTTCAAACATTATTCACTTCTTTTGTTATCTGCATGGAGCAGCAATGACCCGGAAATGACATTTGACACTGTTCATGGCGTGGTGACCAGGGAAATGTCATGAAACAATAGCTCACATATTCCGGTCCGTCTAGTACTTTTGTCATTTGGGATGTCATTTGTCCAACGCTCCACTTCGGGACAGCTTATAACCACGCTCCTCACATCTTAAATGGAGACAATGCTTGTTGTAAAAGGCGACTAACGGGATCGGGTGGTCGTGGCTCGCTGACTTGGTTGATACATGTCATTGATCCCAATTGCGTGGATCGATGCTCATGATCCCGATCCCAATCACTGGATTGTCTGGTCCAGACTCGATTATTTACAGACCGCCGTCATATAGCTGGAATATTGCCGAGTGCGGCGTAAAACACAAACACCAACCAAACCAACCATCTTCCCGAGGCAAGGGCGTTAACTGCCTATATAACTGGACCTTTATAGTCAGTTAACTCCCTTGTCTCGGGAAGATGCGCTCCTCACGGATAAATATACAAATTTCTGCACCTTGGTGGTAAGAAAGGTAGCACGCGACTGTAGTTTTGACGGAAGGGAGAAGACATATATTGCGAAGTGCAGGCACGTGTCTGTGTGGTTGCTTGTACCAGTCCGGACCTGTGCCAGTTTTATAGCGCTTGCGACCTGTGAAGATCCGTGGTAGAATAGGTCTTCAGCAACCCATGCTTGCCGCAAAAGGCAACTATGCTTGTCGCAAGAGGCGACTTACCAGATCGGGTGGTCAGACTCGCTGACTTGGTTGATGGATATCATCATATTCCAATTGCATGGATCGTTGCTCATGATGTCTATCACTGGATTGTCTGATCCAGACTCGATTGTTTACAGAGTGTCGTCATATAGCTGGAATATTGCTGCGTGCGGCGTTAAACAACAAACAAACAAACAAAGAATATAGCGCTTGCCCACAAAGATACAATGTTATAGCTTAACATGGATACCTCACGCAGTCCTTGGTTTATCCCCTTAATGCCGAGCGTCATTCAGGGTTACAAGTACCGTCTTTTAACGTCTTTTGGTATGACGTGGCTCGGGTATCGAACAAGCGACCTTCCGCTCTCCGGGCAGACGCTCTGTCCATAAGACCATGGAGATAACTTGAGAGTGAGTGAGTGAGATGGGTTTAACGCCGCTTTTAACAGTATTCCAGTTATATCACGGCGTGTCAGCTTAATGTGGGAGGAAAGCCCGAAATGATGCAGGTCTCAGACGTTTGTAAACCATTTCGGTGAAACCCATGAGCACGGGTATGGTGCTGACAAGCCTGGAAACATAATCGGGGTGAACCAGGATTCGAACGCACAATCACAGGTTTCTGGTGTGCCCAAGGGACGCAACTCTGCACATCGAATCGCGGCGCCTCAGACGACTGGGCCACCCGGCCCCTAGATAACCTGAGAAGAAATGATGATGTGAAAGAGTAGTAAGAAAGTATAGGTGGCATTTGAAGAATCAACAGCCGTGTGTAACTTTTGCCGAGTCCACAGCAACTTATTATTTTTTCAGACAATGTCTTACCATTTATATTGCAGTTGACGATATATTAGTTGATCAGTACAGAGAAAATACTTCACTCTTTAGCCTTCGAAAATGCTTTCACTTAATGTCCTCACTTGATTAAATGAATAATTATTATCAGAGACAAAGCCATCTTTGATACAGCATTATATCACTTATAGATATCAGTACCAGTCATCCAATGAATTACTTTATATACACCCCTGAAGATCCGGGTTAGAATAGGTCTTCCGCAACCCATGTTTGTAAGAGGCGACTAACGGGATCGGGTAGTCAGACTCGTTAACTCGGTTGATGCATGATGTCAATCACTGGATTGCTTGGTCCAGACTCGATTATTTACAGATCGCCGCCATATAGCCGGAATAATGCTGAGTGCGGCGTTAAACAAACAAACAAACAAGCAAACAGTTTCACATGGAGGTATGATAAGTGTAAATGTATGATGTAATTGCATGAATGCAGATGCAGATGCACACGGGCTCCAAGGCGAAAACCAAAGGACATACATACATTTGTCATAATTGCAACTGAGCTACCAAAAGTCAACAAACCCGAGCTCTTGGACAGATTTTGTAAACATTTCCCGTGTCGAACCCGGGTCCTCGGCGTGACGAGCGAACACTTTAACCACTAGGCTACCCGACCGCCCCACATGCTGTTAGAATGTAGTGCGGAACAATTATTCCAATTTGTCAGGACCATCCCCGTGCTCGTGGTAAACGTCTAAAACCTGCATGACTTCGGGTTTTCCTCCCACATAAGCTAACACGCCGTGATATAACTGGACTAAAGTTCAAAGCGGCGTAAGCCTAACTCACCCACTCACCCCATTACTGTAAATTTACATAAAACATTTCTGACATATCTATGTAGTTTACACATTCTGATTCAATATAATATTCCATATGCTTTACCGAATGACACAAAACTTGTAACGAGCGTGACTAAACAATAGGTTCACTAACATTTCATCTTGCCGAGGCAAGGGAGTTAACTGACTGTAAAAGTCCTGTTTGGACTTTTAAGTCAGTTAACTCCCTTGCCTCGGGACGATGTCAACATTCATGAACCTGAAACAAACATAAACATGTTTGAATGCTTGATAAAAGAACTCTTCAAAATATTGTTTGTTATAACTGAACATATTTTTTGAAAACAGTGTGATATCGAGGAAGCTCAGAATGTCGTCTGCCGCTGGGAGGCAGACGGACATCCTCTCCTCGTCGTCCTCGGCCTGGTCCCCTAAGCCTTCCCCTGAACGTGGTGCTCGAAACCAGCACACAAAGAAAAACAGAAAATACGCAGCCACACAAAGATACAACAAGGAAACAGCGTTATCACAATCCCCCCGTCATGGGACACATCAGAATGTTGTTTGCTCAAACAGATTGAATAACACGAAGTTAATGTTGAAAACATGAAGGCTTTGACTGTAAATATACATGTAGAAGCAAGGACGTCACTCTGGAAAAAAATATTTTTTATGGCACCAATTTTTCGAACTCAGTCTTGATAAGTATCTATCGGACAAGCTTGCAGAGTTTCATTTATGTACCTTCAGGAGTTTCTGAGAAAACTTGTCCCCAATGCAGACACTATGCACTAAGTACAACAAGGAAATACACACACATTATTTGTTAAGAAGTCCAGTTTGTTGCAAAGAAAACACACAAAATATTTATTTTAGAAATACCGAAACATCAAAAGGTACGTACCAGTTACATCAGACAATCAATCGTGTATTCAATAACACTGCTCACAGCGACCCATGGCAAACTACAGAAACATGTTCGGTTAGAGTGCTGCATATTAGATACATAATTTTATAACATACATCAGTTGCGGGCTTATCATTTTTTTTAAATAAGAGAAAATGTGAATTTCCACAATAAAATAGAGCACACACATGTACACATGCACACACGCGCGCACACACACACACACCTAAGCATGTATACGCAGGCGCCCTCTGATAGGCATTCAGAAGTCGGAAGAAAAAATAAAGTTTCTACGCATAATAGGCGTCATGTATTCAGAAATATTTAACTCCTGACAGATATATGTACCCTGCTTACCCACATGAGTCCCAAAGAGGGACAGGTCAGCCGAAATTGCTGAGGCAGAAGGCGACTTCTTAAACACTCAAAGCAACAACACACCCCGATCCCGTTAGTCGCCTCTTACGACAAGCAGAGTCGCCCTTTACGGCAAGCACATGTTGCTGAAGACCTGTTCTAGCCCGGATCTTCACGGGTCGACAAAATGAATTCCTGGCGAGATCTTAAAGCAACAACACATCACAGATCTCCCCAGGAACTCATTTTCTCGACCCGTGAAGATCCGGGCTAAAAGCAACCCATGCTTGTCGTAATAGGCGACTAACGGGACCGG